TCTATTGTATATGTACATATGGTGGATGGACTAAAAAGCACTATGGGAGGAAGAATATATACCTACATATATCTACATATATAATTTTATTTTTATCTTATGTTCATTGGTGTTTTGCCTGCATGTATGTCTGTGTGAGGGTGTCCGAAACCCTGCAAGTTATAGACAGTTGTGAGCTGCCATGTGGGTGCTGGGGATTGAACCCAGGCCATCTGAAAGAGCAGTCAGTGCTCTTAACCTCTGAGCCATCTCTCCAGCCCGAGAATATATTCTTTTTTTTTTTTTTGTTAGTTTTGGAGACAGAGTTTCTCTGTGTAGCAGGCGTGGAACCTGCTTTTTAGACCAGGCTGGCCTTGAACTCACTGAGATCCTCCTACCTCTCCCTCCCTAGTGCTGGGATTAAAGGTGTGAGCCACCATGCCCAGTGAGAATATATTCTTGAACAGCAAGCAGTTTATCATTTTGGATGTCAGCAGATTTTTGCATATATAAGTTTATTTTTAGAGAAATACATGTTATTTAAAACCACACAGTAACTACAGTGACTCCTTATCCTTTTTGATGGATTTAGGATAAGAAACAGATTTTTATACCCATGATATTTTTGTCATTGGTAGGTCAAAGGTGAACAGAGTGTGATTAATGTGCATGGGGTGTCATGTACTTTAATGAGCTGAGCAATTATATTTTATATTCATATTTGTCTTACACAGTGCATGGGTTTGCACCTTAAACTGAGAGGAAAGTCACCTTCCTGTGCTGATGGTTGTTGTTGGGAATGGTGGCTTCCGTAGAAAATGCTTTGATGGTATGTATGTAAAAATATTTAAAATGTTCATGTTCTTGATGTAGGAATTCTACTTCCAAGAATATAACCCCAGAACACATAATTAATTATATGGACGATAATCATTCATAGGCATGAGATGTATGTGCACATGTACCCAATGAAATATATATTATATCCACATATATATTTATGTATAACCACTCAATAGAGTATGTGGTAGTTTGAATAAATATGGCCCCTAAAGGCTCATAGAGTGACATTATTTGAATGGCTCGCGATCTGTGACTTTGTTGGAGGAAGTGTGTCACGGGAGGTGGACTTTGAGGTTTCTGAAGCACAAGCCAGTCCCGGTGTCTGTTTTCTTGCTGCCTTCCAATCCAGATGTCAAACTCTTGGCTCCTTTCTCATCACCATGTCTGCCTGCACACTGCCATGCTTCCCATCATAATGATAATGAACTAATCTGAACCAGTAAGCCAGCTCCTAATGGAATGTTTTCCTTTATAAGAGTTGCTGTGGTCATGGTGTCTCTCCACAGCATGAAACCCTAAGAAAGGGTATATGCAAATGTTACATATGATGTTCATGAAAGGTTTTAATAAGAAAATAGATTACCAGATGAGAAATTATTAAAAGGATTTAAAATCATTGCACATTCTGATCTTAGTTATGCATACACACACCCATGAGGAGGGTTGGGAGGGCATGTATCAGGATTCTGATGTGTTATCACTAGGTGGTAGAATGTTCGTCTTTATTTTCTCTATATATTTTCTGCACATCCCACATATTCTATGATGAATGGTTGTTTTTTTAAATGAATAGTGATATATACTTTCTCTTAACAATTTCTTTTATAGTACTAATGTATTCATTGTGAAAAAAGACTTAACACAGCGTTATGTTAACATTGGATATTTTTGAAAAGTGTTAAATGAGATCAATGATGAAGTTAAAAAAATAACAGTATGATTTTAATTCCATTCCATCTGATACGATTTAAGTCTGTATTCTGGTTTTAAGTTGTACAGGGAAATCCCTGAATGCTGTGTATGCTACACTGGAGGTCAGAAAACCTTGGGCAAGGGATGCATGCATCCAAGAGGTGTGTGGTGTAGGGTGGAGTGCTGTTTCTCTGGACCTTCATTCTGCTGGTCACTGTTTCAGCAGAGAGGGTGAGAGGAGGATAGTTTGACCACTTTGCTGAAGCAGTTAGAGCTGTTTTCTACAAAGTAAAGGTAAATGTCTGCTGTGAAAGAGGCGACATACAAGGTAAGGCCACCTGTGTGTAACATAGCAGGGGCCTTGATTCGTTGGAATAAACTTGGTCAAGCAAAATTGTTCACCACCCAGAGGAATGCAGGGAAAATTGAGCATGTCTGTGTGTGGGGTGGGGAGGAGGAGGGGGAAGGAGAGTAATAACTCAAATAGTCACACTAATATTAGGGTATTACGTTTTTGACAACGGCGGTACTTTTGAAAGTGATGCGGGCTTGAGTGGTTTATTTCCAGGGTTGCTCATGGGTCTCCTCTGCGCTGTGCTCATCTCACAGTGATCTGTGGTGACAAGATTGTGAGAGCCCATTGCTTCTGAGTACAAGTCACCTGACCCATAGACATTACCAACACAGTTCTCCAACGCTGCTCTATGCATGCACAGAAGTCGAGCCCACCGATACTTAGTAAGATCCTCTTGCGGACCTAGGTTCTTTGTAACTTCCAAGATTAACTGAGACCATGGCTGGAATCCCAGCATCAAGGAGGTAGAGTCAGGAGGATTGTTGCAAGTTTGAGGCTAGCCTGGGCTACATAGTTAGAGGCTAGCCATGAGTACACAGTGAATCCCTGTCTAAAAGTGTAAAAGAGCAGCCCAGTAGGTTTTATCAAGGAGGTTTCTGTGTGGTCGTATTTAGGTTGAAATAATGAGCTATGAAACTTCAAAGAGGAGTTGTAAATTAGGTCAGGAGTGAGGGTTAAAGTTCACTGTAAAATCCGTATTGCTGCCTTTTAATAAGAAGTTGGAGAAAGATTTGGCAAAGGAAGACGCAATCCTCTGTGCGCACATTTTCTCAGAAAGTGTCTCCTGTTAGCAAGTCTTATGAATGTTTACTTTGCCTTCACACTGCTGCTTTGTCTGTGCTTAGCCTTAAACTAGAAGTCAAATAAATCCAAAGGTTTACACACAGCTGACCTCTTCTGCCAGTGAGTGTGCGAGTACATCTCCCTCTTCTTAAAGGGGTCACCAGGGAAAAGAATGGAGAGGTTGTCTGTGACCTGCCGTCATGATCTAGATCAGCTTAAGTTTGTAAGCTTCCAGACTCTGCAGTAGGAGAAACAGAGGTGAGCACATCCCAAGACACAGGCTCACAAAGACTCAGTGCTTTGTTTTATATTACTGCCCAGTTACATTCCTAATGTATTGTTAATATAGCCTGCCATCCAGTTTTGTTGTGTTCATAGTCGTAGAGTCTTTCCAGCCCTGGCCAAGCAGGAATGCAGGGCAGGATCTGTAGTGGTTACTGAGTACGGCCCAGCATAACGCCTAGCAAGGTTAGATACATGACTGAATAAATGAAGGAACAAATGGTGTAGCTAGACTGTACTAAGTTCAGATGTCACTTTTTATTAACTATGATTGCACCTATGGGAATTTCATTATATTAAAGTAGTCCTTTCGTTTTAAGGGACATTATAGAATGTTTCTAGAAAGTAGACTTTTACAACATTGAGTATGCTTGCTTTTAAGAAGGATACACCACGTTACATGGAAAAGTGAGAACAAAGTAGAAAGATGTCTAGGGATTAGGGGGGACTTAGCCACATCTGAAGGATGTACAGACATTCCTAGACTTACTTATTTTGCTCATTGTCCAACTCTCCCATTAGAATGCAAGGTTTAAACATATGTCTCTATTATTTATTTTTATTTTTGTAATGAATACTGCCCTGTGTTAGCCCTTAGGATGGTATCTGCTATATAATAAATATTTAAAAATATTTGTTGCACGAATAAATGATTTTGAGATACACATACATACATATATATATAGTCTCAAAAAAGAACTCATTGGTTCTACCTTCACCCATCATATACATGGTGGTTTGTCTCCATGTCCTTGCCAGTCCTGGGTTTTATGGGTTTCTTAAAAGTTTTCCAAGTATACTGTACTGTCTCTTGGGTGGCATCTGTCAGAGCTGTTCATCTGCCTGCTGCCATTTTCTTCCCATTTTTCTGATGCATGGGATGGGAAATTTGGGAAGTCTTCCTGCTTCCTGCTCTCCACGGTTCCCGTTAAGCTAGCCTCTCTCTGCTGAAACACTCCTGTCAACATCGCCAGCCGTCCGCATTGCAGCTTTTGCATAGCAGCTGAGCTTGCTCTGCTTCTCACCTGGTTTGAGAGAGCTGGCGACTAGAGAGAGCTTTCTCCTGGATCTCATCCCTTCGTTGCCTCTTTCTTCACAATCCCATTCCTTCTTTGTCCAATCTCTAAAGCTCTTTGCCGGGCATGTCTTGTTCTCTAAGCCTATTTTCCATAGGAAAGCCTGAGATGGCGCCTGACTTTCTTACATCTGAAGTCTACATTCCCAGCTCTGACCTCTCCCTGTGACTCCAAACCCATTTAAGCAACGTTGGACCTCATGATAGCAGCTGGATGTCCAGTAGACATCTTAAGTGTCCCCCAGGCACCCAGAACTGCTGCTGGCTCTTCCCTTCTTCACTTTGTATCCCCCCTCTCTGGATTTTTCTCCTTTAGTAAACAGGCATTCTTTGCCCTCTTACACCAAGACCCAAAAGAGTTATCCTTGACACGTCTCTGCATCCCACCCACGCTTCTCCGTGCCTCTGTTTTCTTTCCTTCTGCCTTAGGTGTGTCCTGAACCCACTTACACTTCATCGTCACAGTTCACAACTCATGTTTGTCACCATCATGCTCTCTCTCCTCTGTCTCCCAAGGGTTCCGTGTCTCCTGCTGGCTCTTCCTCTCCCATTCTTGACCCACCCCAGTGTGTTCTCTATCAGCTCTGAGCAGTTCCTAGTAAAAAGCACCCCAGCCCCTTGCAAGAAGGAACAGATCACTTAACCCTAGCTTAGTGTCTAGATCTGTGTGAGGATGACGTGGCTCATGAAGAGTCTAAGATGAGGTGTTTGGTTTAAAGATGTTAGTGGTCCTTATGGTTTAGATTGTCTTTCTTTTTAAATGTTTCCTAGTGAGCTGAGGCCAGGGCTTTCTCTGGAAGTCTTCCCTGCCTACTCCTGCAATTGGGCGCTATGCATCCAGACCTCGGACCCTTATGGACACTGCTGTATGTTCTTGGGATTCTGTGTTCTTCTGTGAGTTCAGGTAAGAGGAGAATGGTGGGGTTTGGGCTGAAGTCTTTCCTCATCTTAACCTTTTTGCTTTAAACTTATGTAAAGGTTGATATACATGTATACCAATGTGTAATTCATTGCATAGCATTTATTACCTATTAAAAATACCATGGGGACCTGGCATGGTGGCACGCCTTTAATCCCAGTACTTGGGAGGCAGAGGCAGAGGCAGGAGGATCTCTGAGTTTGAGACCAAGATGGGCTTATGAATTTTTTATAAGTATTAAGAGCTACTACATATAGAGATAAGAGACTGCCTCAGTTATAGATTCAGATGAAATGTACCTAATGCACACTCTTTCTCCCCCTTCCTCCTCCTTTCTTTGCACACTGGAATGTTCCCTTGCAGACTTGGTGCCTTATTTTATTTCTGAGCCACTCTCTGCTGTCCAGAAGCTTGGTAGACCTGTGGACCTACATTGTTCTGCTAAACCTGTTACTGCCCGCATCTCCTGGTTGCATAATGGGAAACGATTGGACAGCAACATGGAACAGATTAAGATTCATCAGGGGACTTTGACCATTCTGTCTCTTAACCCTTCCCTTTCTGGTTACTACCAGTGTGTTGCCAACAACAGCATTGGTGCCATTGTGAGTGGCCCTGCAACAGTGTCCACTGCAGGTGAGTTTAATTTGAATCTTGCTACCTGTTGTTTTCCTTGAAATCTATGTGTTTTCTATTTGTTCCTGCAATTTTTATAGTGGGAAAAAATTGGGCACTGATATGATACATGTAGGGGTCTGAGAGTACTTATCCTAACCCTGTCTTGACTTCAGATAGCTGGGGAAAGATACTGGCACCTCGGTAGCCCAGCCTCGTAGCTTAATCTCTATCAGTATTGTGGAATATTTTTGTCAAATTAGCCCAGGACAGTTTTCTAGTGTGAATTCTGGACAACATCCTTGTGAATCTTTTAAATTCCTTAATATCAGTACAGACAAAAAAATGATACTCATTTAGTTCATTCAGTCCCTTATCTTTCTTTCACATCTAATTGTTTCATTTCCCTTGATTGCCAGGGGATTTTAATTTATGTAATTGAAACCAGGCTAAAGAAGCAGGGAAAAAAAAACTGACTGTAAAGAAAGGAATGTGAAGAATTGAACTTATGGAAAATCTGGAATGCGTGGTTTTCCTTAGTAAGTTTGAGCCATCTGCCTTTCAAATGTCGATGGTTCCCAGTAATGGAAAACGGCTTTGTGAGGGCACCCCTATTTACAGAACAAATCTGGATTCCCCCGGAGTAGAGAGTTTGTCATAACTGAGAAGAGTAAATGTTTTTGTAGAGCTGTGACCCATGCACAGCTCCAAGACACACACTGGAGGGTTGGTTTCCTGGAGGCAGGCAGCTGGCTTCCTTGGGTGGTGGGGATAATACAGGGCCTGCTCCGTCCACAGTGAACTGCCTAAAGGGAGAGGAATCAGTACTAAGCTGGTGCATCCAGGCTCGGTGTTATGACCTGGGTTCATTCCCAGAAGCCGTGTTATTGCAGAGAAAGTGAGTTTTGGTGAAGACCCTTCTGGGTGGGGAAGAATTTGTCTTGACAGAATGGGGGTGACTATGCTTTGCAGCTCTCTTTGGTGTTTTGGAACAGTTTCCTTTACGTTTCCCTGAAGGCAGTAACTGTGAAGACCTGTGTGCCCTGACTTAGCTCAACCCCTCACCTCTGCCCCAGAGCCTTTCTCAGATGAAAAACTCTCACTGCTGGCTGTGGTGGCTCACACCAGTAGCCCCAGCAGTTGGAAGACTGAGGCGGGAGGATCACAAGTTCAAAGCTAGCCTGAGCTGCATAATGTTATATAATGAGACCTGGCAAAAAGCAAACTTGGCTAGGTGTGGTGGTACATTCTTTTAGTCCCAGGACTTGGGAGGCAGAGGCATGTGGATCTCTGCATTTGAGTCCAGCCTGGTCTACAAAGCAGTTCCAGGACAGAACTAAACAGAAACCCTGTCTCAAAAAAGCCAAAACCCAAAACAAAACAAAACACCTGCTAGCCTTGAGACTGGGATCAGCTGCCACTAAAGACCATTCTATATGTTTCTAGCCATTACATTTCCTTTAAATTGTTTTGCATTCATTTCATTAGTTCACGTGTTTATTTCAGCTCTTGGTGATTTTGATTCGTCAACAATGCATGTTATTACTGCAGAAGAGAAAAACACGGGTTTCATTGGCTGTAGGGTACCAGAGAGCAACCCCAAGGCTGAGGTGCGCTATAAGATCCGGGGAAAGTGGCTGAAGTATTCCACAGGTGAGTTCTGCTCGGGCCGTGCTCTCAGAGAGCACGTGGAGGAAGCTGAGGCAGGTGGTTACGTTAGACAACTGACCCCAAGGACTTGCTCCTCAGCCACTTAGGGCCACATTTACATACCACTTCTTAGAGGAGATGGCCCACGTGAATGTGTCCAAGTAAGCTGGTCTGTCACTGTCGTCCCCCTTCACGCCTGGTGTGTGCTGTGTAGATTTTGTGTGTTCGGCACCCCTCTGCCTGCCACCTCACGCTCCCTGTTGGAATGTTAAGTGCATTAACGCAGGGACTTTGCTCTCTGCATTGCCATGCCATGTGTGTCAGGCCGTGGTTGGCAAAGAATACCTGCTCCGTCCCTGTGTGTTTATCGAGGAATATGGTGAGTAGCCGGTGACTGGACACCATGGTGGTTATAGGAGGAGATGTATCCTGTGCTTCAGACTCTGGCCATCTGCTGAAGGTTTTGCTGTGTGACCACTCTCGGGCCTGGCTTTCCTCTCGATTGTGTAATAAAGCTCTTTGGTTGCACGTTTGCTGCTGGTCTTATGTGTAAACTTCAATGGTCTGTGCTAGTTCCAGCTGTGTGTGTGGGAGGGTCTGAAGAACCTGGAACTCTGTAGGTGAGGATGGCTTTGGCCTTCTGGTCCTCCTCCTCTGCCTCCCTCAAATTATAGACATGTGTCACTATGCCTGGTTTTATGTGGTGGATGCTGGGCTTGTACCCAGGGGTTTGTGGTAGGCAAATAGGATTCTACCAGCTGAACTGCATCCCCAGCCCCTGACTGCATCATTCTGCCTTCCCCAGGGAATTACATAATCCTTCCCTCAGGAAATCTTCAGATTCTGAATGTATCCTCGAAGGATAAGGGGTCATACAAATGCGCTGCTTATAATCCTGTCACCAATGAATTGAAAGTTGAACCCACTGGCCGAAAGCTCCTTGTGAGTCGTAAGTATCTGGGAGAATGATGTTGGCTAGGGAAGAAAGAGTCCTTGCAAGTATGGCTCAGGAAGCCTTGGTGAAGGAGAGAGTTCAGTATGTTTTTCAATTCTGGCTTTATTTTACATTTTTTATTATTATTATTACATGTGTATGGATATTTGCCTGCATGTATATCTGTGTACCATGTGCACACCCAGTGTCCATGGAGGCCAAAAGAGGGCATCATTATCCTCTGGAAATAGAGTTACAGATGGTGAAGCCTTAGTGGAAGTGCTAGGAATAGAACCCGAGGCCTCTAGAAAAGCTGCCAGCGCCTTTAACCACCGAGTCACCTCTCTGTGCATCAGTGTGTTATAGACTTAGTACTGCACCTGTTTTTAAAGATCTATTTACTTTATGTATATGAGAGTTTGTGCCCGGTGCACAAGGAGTATATCAGATCCCCTGGCACTGGATTTATGGCTGGTTATGAGCCACCATGTGGGTGCTGAGAACTGAACCTGGTCCTCTGCAAAAGTAGCAAGTGCTCTTAACTGCTGAGCCATCTCTCTAACACCCATGTACCTATTGTTAACATATCAACCTCATAACAGTGATAGCAGTGATTGGTTGACTGTGGAGTGTGTGATGGAGAGATAATGTGCTTTCTATCAGATAGGATACGAATCATGACTGATTTTGGATTATGGCTGTTAAGCTGAGATAGACCATAGTAAAGTGTGGCTTTAGGCTCAAAAATTCAACATCTCCAAAATGCTAATTCAGGAAAAAATCTCCAAAAAAAAAACCACAAAATATTTTTATTTGGACTCTCAGAGAAAAATTATTTTGCTATGCATAGGGCCTTGCCGCATGGGGGAGAAGTGGGAGAAGCTCCTTGGGGTGTTCATAGGTTGGCTAAGGGAGAGGGTGGATTTCTAATAGTCATTTCTAATACTGTTTTGTGTTCTTCCTTTTCCAGGCCCTTCTTCAGATGGTTTTCACATTCTCCACCCTGCTCTTTCTCAGGCATTAGCTGTCCTTCCTCACAGCCCTGTTACCTTGGAGTGTGTGGTGAGTGGGGTCCCCGCCTCACAAGTGTACTGGCTGAAAGATGGGCAGGATGCTGTGTCGGGAAGCAACTGGAGAAGGGTGCACTCGCATCTTGCCACGGCGAGCATTGACTCAGCGGACTCTGGGAACTATTCCTGTGTGGTGGGCAACAGGTCCGGAGATGTAAAACACGTCACTTACATGGTCAATGTTCTGGGTAAGGTCTTACTTATTCAATAATAGAGACTTCATTTCAAATCGGGTCATTTTCCTGGCCTAATTGATGTTTGGAAGATATTTGTGAGCTAAAAATGAGAAATATCCACACTGGTAGCCAGAACAGAGGGGAAAGCTTGGTGAATGAGTGTGTGTGTGTGTGTGTGTGTGTGTGCGTGCATGCATGCAGCATGCGCATATGCATGTGGTCCTTTAGCAGTAACTGAGATGGAACTGACTAGAGATATCACCTCACAGAGAAATCTAGCTGTTTACTTTTTACTTTTTTGTTATGTTTGGCTGATAAAATCCATCTGTAGATAATTCTGTAGCATTGTAAAAATGTTTGCCTGCATCAAATCATATTTTTGTGAAAACTAGAAAAATGAATAGGAAATGATTTCATTAAATATGATCTTTGTAAAATTTTTTTTTGGTTTTTCGAGACAGGGTTTCTCTGTGGCTTTGGAGGCTGTCCTGGAATTCGCTTGGTAGTCTAGGCTGGTCTCGAACTCACAGAGATCCGCCTGCCTCTGCCTCCCGAGTGCTGGGATTAAAGGCGTGCGCCACCAACGCCTGGCTGTAAATTTTTTTTTTTACATTTGATTTATGCTCATAGCCTGATGTAGGTTAGTGATACTGGGATTAACATTAAGTATGGTGAATGAGCTTTAAAAATCCGTGATGGGACTGGATGTGTATACAGTTCAGTGTTAGAGTAGCCTAACATATGCATGGCTCTGGGTTTGATCACCAACAAACATCAAACAAACACCCCCCCCCCCACACACACACACACAGAGCCCCAAACCCAGTGACAATCAGAACTGGATTAATATATGCAACCACTTATTTTAGGCAGACTCTGAACGTGTTGGTAAATGCTGTACTTCAAGAGTAGGATGTGACTTCTTAAGCCTGGAGTCCTGGTACATGCCTTTAATTTCAGCACTGGAGCCAGCGACAGTCAGAGCTCTGTGAAACCAGCCAAGCCTCCATAGCAAGGGCCAGGACATGGAGGAACACTGCCTCAAAACAAAGCTTTGTGGAAACTGGAGTATTTTGCCTGTTATACACATAGCCTCTAAGTAGAATTGACCCTAAACAGAATTGACTTATTCATGTATTTAGGCAGGGTGGGTTCAGTCCTTGCCTGGTGCTTCCTCTTTTTGTGGACATGCATCCCTACCATCTTCTGAATGAACTTGAAAGCCTTGGCTTGGGGACCTTGGGCAACGTCATGTCCGTGCAGCTGATAGGATGCCACACGTCCTAGATGATGTGACACAAACTGGTCATGTTTGGTGAGGTCCCTGAGGCACCAGTTATGTTGTTGATGTTCCCCATCTCTTTCTGGCCTTTGCTGGGTCCCCATAGCCAGAGGCTGACCCAGAGCCATAGCTGCTGTTCTCCAGTGGTGTCCGCAACAGGTCCACAAACAGAATTCAAAACAAGCGGAATATTTGATGCAGTTAAGATTCTCATTTTGAATAAAACCTTTTTTTTTCTTGTCTCCTGTTTAGTGTACAATCCAGAGAAGCTACTACTTAAGAGAAGAACAGGGTAGAAGTGTGTGTGTGTGTGTATGTGTTCATAGGTGTTGGGGTATAAAATGGGTGGGTCAATATAAAAAAAGCTTCTAACTTAGTAGCTGTATATTTGTTTCTGCTTGTGAAAGCAGAAGTAGATTTCTCAGTGTTTGTTGCTGACCACACAGATGGAAGTACAGAACACAGAGATTTCACTACGCAGTCCTAGAGATATGGATTCTTCGTGACTTGTGTGATAGTTAAGTGTGCCTGCTTTATTTTCAGAGCGTGCTTCAATTTCTAAAGGGCTGCAAGATCAGAAGGTGTCTCTGGGGGCCACCGTACATTTTACCTGTGATGTTCATGGGAACCCAGCCCCCAACCGCACCTGGTTTCATAACGCCCAGCCTATTCACCCCTCCTCACGGCATCTAACTGAAGGGAATGGACTGAAGATCACTGGGGTTACCATGGAGGACTCAGGGCTATATCAGTGTGTAGCAGACAATGGGATTGGACTTATGCAATCGACAGGAAGACTTCAAATTGAACAAGGTATGCTTTTAGGTTATGTAATCACAAGAAACTTTACTTCATAGTAATTAGAAATGAAGTCATGTTTATTGAAAGAAAATAATCACATGTATGAACTGTGTTTGTTTTCTATGGTCTTCGTAGTGACAGACTGGCATTTCCATGATGAAGCCACCTTATTAAATGAAGCTCATTTAAAAAATTGTTTGGAATAGAGAGATGACTTAGTGGTTAACAGCACTGGCTGCTCTTGTAGAGGACCTAGGTTCAGCTATCAGCACTAAACCCTCAGAACTCAGTTCTCATTTACAAATGGTTATGACAGCTCATAACCATTTGTTACTCCAGCCTTAGCGGGTCCCGTGCCCTTTTCTGGGTTCCAGGCACACAAGTGGTATGCAGACATACATGCAGGCAAAACACCCCCAGCACTAGGGCGGCAGAGACAGGCAAGTTCAAGGCCAGCCTGGTCTACAGAGTGAGTTCCGGGACAGCCAGGGCTACACAGAGGAACCCTGTCTTGAAAAAACAAAACAAAACAAAAAACCCCACAAAAATAAAAGTTGTTTCTAGGATGGAAATTTAGCTCAAGTGGAATAGCATATGTGATTTCCTGAATTCCCATAGGCCCTAAATAATAAACTGTTGCAAAGCATTACTTTTCAATAGTTGCTTCACAGTTTGGCTTGCTCTCCCCCTCCCATTCCTACCAGCATCTAATGGTTGGTCAGTCAAGTCTTTTGTTTAGAACTAGCTGGTTTTATTAGTTTCTTGAATAACCTTCTATGTGCATATGCAAGCAGTTATACACCACAGGTGTGTGCATGCATATGTATGTATTGTCTTTTAAAAGCATAAATAGTGGCAAAATTCTTTCCTTTAAAACTTTTACATAGCCTGTAGTTTGAATTTCTTCTCATATGGTATGCCAAAGTGTGTTTTTATTCTTTAAGAAAAATGGCTGCTTACTGTTTCATTTTATAGTTGAAATAATTTGACTAGCATCTTGTTGATAGCTGTTTGAGATGTGAGGAAAGTTTTGATTATTCTGCATGTGTGCTAGTACTTCTAAAAGAAATTCCTAGAAGTGAACTTATAAAGCTATATATGTATTGGAAATTTTAGTAGATATTATCAAATTTCTTTTCATAATTATCACGAGTTTATATTCATGAGCATTTAGATTTTCTGTTTCCTCATATTCTCACCAGGACATACTAGTAAGGTCAGTGTGTGTGTGTGTGTGTGTGTGTGTGTGTGTGTGCGCGCGTACATTCATGCATGTGTGTGCGCACATTCATGCATGTGTGTGCTAATGGGGCCCACAGATTGAAGTTTGGTGTCTTCTTGCATTCTTTTATGTTTTGAACCTGAAACTCATTGATTGCGCCAAGTCAGCTGGCCATTGACCTTTGGGATCTGCCTCTGTGCCCATTTCCTACACTGGGCTTGCAGACACTAAATACATACTTCCATACCCAGCTTTTATGTGGGTGCTTGGGATCCCACTTATGCTGCAAGCACTTTACCAACTAGGCCATCTCTCAAACCATATATATGTTTTAGTCTGTACTTCTTTTATTCTAGGTGGAATTAGATGTCTTTTCATATGCGTGTAAGACATTTAGATTTATTTCTTTACATGTTGGCCATCTTTCGCCCATTTAAAAATTTAAGTTTGGGGTATTTTCCCTATTGATTTATAAGAGGGAAACTGTTTATGATGTGAGTTGTAAACATTTCAGAGGTCAGAGCATCAGTGTGAAGTAGAGTACCTCTTTGACCTTGGCATGACAAATTTAGAAGTTAATGATAAAAACAAATGTTTTAAAGAAAATTGTCATACCTTTGGAAAACTTAAGCACGTTTTGAAATCACAGTGGAAGTTTAAAATATTTTGAGCTAAATGGCCATGAAAATGCCCAAGATCACTGTCTTAGTTAGGGTTACCATTGTTGCACTGAAACACAATGGACCAAAAGCTAGTTGGGGAGGAAATGCTTTATTTCACTCACAGTTCCATATAACAGTTATCAAAGGCAGTAAGGAACTCAAACAGGGCAGCAACCTGGATACAGGAGCTAATGCAGACGCCATGGAGGGGAGCTGCTTACTGGCTTGTTCCCTATGGCTTGCTAAGCCCACCCTCTTATAGAACCCAGGACCACCAGCCCAGGGATAGCACCACCCCCGGTGAGCTGGTGCCTCCCCACCAATCACTAATTAAGAAAACGCCTTACAGCTGGATCTTATGGAGACATTTTCTCAACTGAGGTCCCCTCCTTTCAGATGACTCTAGCTTGTGCCAAGTTGACATAAGACTAGCCCGCACAATCAATCATGTCCTGTGGGAAGACGGCCAACGTGGAATTTAGGACCTTTATAGCCTTGTGTGCTTACCAAAGAAAATGAGTAAAGTTGAAAATTATTGAGTAAATCAAAGGAACATAAGAAATAGGCTCAAAGAAAGCAGAGGACAAAGCCAAGAGCAGAAGGCATCTAAGAAACGTAAAGCACAAGATTAATAAGGATAGAAATTGGGTTTTCGTAAAGTCTAATAAAGTGGACAAATCATTGGCAAAATTAAGTAAAAAAGTAATAAACGGACACTATTAAGGGGGAGGAAGTTGTAAATCTCACGATAGAGATGAAAAGTGATTGATAGGACAGTAAATTACAAACATGAACGGAGCTGTGGTGTTAGCTTCCTGTCACTGTAACAGAGTACTTGAGGTGGTCAATGTAAGGAGTGGAAGGCTTTATTTTAGCTTGCAGCTGCAGACACGGTCGCTTGGCCGTTGCTTTGAGCTTATGGCAGCTCACTGAGAGCATTAGGGCTGGAGTAAGTGCTAGAATGGACCTGCTTACCTCATGGCCCAGAAGCAGAGAGACGGAAGGCCTGCAGGTTCCCAGTCTCCCCTCAGAAGACACACCCCCGGCCACCTGACTTTTTCCCACTGGGCCCCATCTTGTTCTGATTTCATCGTCAGTAGCATGGCAGGCTGGTGACTAAGCTTTCAACTCACAGGCTTTAGTGGGGAACTCCAGATTCAAACTATAACATGGGTAAATTCTAAGGGAAATAGAACTTAGCAAGGCTCTGACTTAAAGTAAATAAAAAACCTGAGTAGTTCTCCAGCTATGACAGAAATTGAATTAGGAGTTAAATTTTTCCCACAAAGAAAACACCAGACCAGATGGTTTTGTAGATTCTACTAAATTTGCAAGTTATAGACCTTTCCAGATATTACACAACTCTCCCAGAGAAAGGGTGGAATGGAAGCTCTCCAGTCAGTATAATCTTGAGTCTAAAATCACAGAAGGACGGGATAAGAAAGTAAGCTAAAAGCAGGTCTTATTTGTGAACATAGGTATAAGAATCATAAATAAAATATCAGCAAGCCAGGAATGTACAATATATATATATGCATCTTGCTGAAGCAGCTATTTCAGAAGTCTATCATAAAATGTATTATTCATCATGTTTACTGTATAAAGGAGGAAAACCATGATTATTTCATAACAAGTAGGAAAAATTAGACAAAACTGTGCTAGACAGTCAGAAAAATGGAAATAGAACTTGATAAATGGTATCTAACTTGATAAAAGGTATTCTCTTTAAAACTCACTCTAGGTATCCAAATACAAGAGAATCCACCCAGTACATAAAGACACAAAAGAAATTAGAAGGAAATAATCCAAATGGTGATTAATTTATAACTACTATTGCCATTGTATAATATCTAAAATACTAACTGGCTCTTATTTATTATACATTTTCTTTTTAAAATACTAGTATTTAACAAGAAGCTAGGTGTATACTTAAATAAACACAAATCATTTGCCTTTCTGTATACCAACAACAAACAAAATATTATTTAAAAGTCACTTTTTATATTAGTAACAAAGTCACATAGACATTCTAGGTCATGGGTAGCAAAATTTGGAATTATACAGTTATCTGGCCCTTTTAAACTTTTCTGTAGATTTATGCTACTGTAATGGAAATCTAATCAGAATATTTTGAAGACTTTAGCTGGGCTTTAATAGCATCTGCCTATAACACCAGAACTTGGAAAGTGGAGGCAGGGGGATCAGGGTTTCAGGCTCATTCTTGGCTGCATAAGGAATTTGAGTCCAGTCTGTATTACATAAGTATGTATGTGCATCTGTATGCATGTGTTTGTGTGTGCCCTTGAGAAAATGATTATAAAACATGCAAAGATAATCAGAAGCCCAAGAATAACTAGAGCACTCTAAAAGCATAGGGCACTTGCTATAAGCATAAAAAGCCAGTAATAATTCCAAAAGTCTTAGACTGCTACAGGAACAAATAGACTCTTGGACACGACATAGACTGACAAAAATATCTTTACATGGAAGGGCCTGACTGAACTGGTATTGCACACCCCACGGGGAGGATATTTGTTTCATGTTTTGACTTGAGATAATTAATTATCAAAATGAAAAAGACAGCAAAAATTGAATCTCTAACTCACACGGTACATAAAGATAAATTCACAAGGGAAAGTTTTTGAGGAATAGGTTGGAGGATATTTGTATGATCTATGAGTCAAATGTTTTAGCAAGTCATGTAAAGCATTTATGAATGGCACATAAACCTGCCAGGAGATGATCAGCTTCATCAGTCCTCGGGGACATGCATGTTACAGCTAGTTAGAAGGTTTGTACTCATTCAGTTGGCAAGAATTCAGAATCTGTGAAGATCCAGTGTCTTTAGTTTTATCAGACATGATAAATAGGCCTAGAGGAAAAAGCAACATGCTGAAAAAAATGTCTACTGTGGCCTCACTTTAAAGTCCCTTCAGAAAATACCAGAACTGGTAGGGAAAACTTGGTGCCGTTTTGATTTAGAAACAAAAATGGTGCTCATATTGATGATTAGAAATAGTATGTCAGCTTTCACTTAAATGGTGTGCTCTTTCTCTCTCTCTCTCTCTCTCTCTCTCTCTCTCTCTCTCTCTCTCTCTCTCTCTCTCTCTCTCTCTCTCTCTCTCTCTCTGATCAGATTTCACAAGAACCATCCATTTCCTTGGAGGAATATTATCTAGTTTTCTGCTTCCTTACCTTTTTCATGTTATGGCTTGAGGTTCTGGCTTCACCTATTTTGTATCTACGGCAGTCAAGTAGGCATGGTATACCTAATGGAATCCATTCCTCCTTTCAGGAGGAACAGGAAATCTGTGTAGGGAACTTGAGGAAAAAATATGCTTCTTAAAAATTATACACTGCCAGCCTAGTATGATGGCACATGCCTTTAATCCCAGCATTCAGAAGGTAGAGACAGGTGGATCTCTAAGTTTGAGGTCAGCCTGATCTACAGAGTTCCAGGACAGCCCCCACCCCCAAAAAACCCAGTTACACACAACATTCTGCATGGCTTGGTACTGGAAACCTGCTGGAGTGATCAGGGAATGAAGAAAGGTTAGACAGACACATACAGAAAAGCCGGCATTGGGTGGGCAGTACTCACTCTGATAGAGGACCCCTAAAATGCAATAACCCAGAAGTTCAATGCTTTCTAGATAGCACAGGAGTGATGGTTAGCTAGTTTCAATAGGAGGATTTGTAGGGGACAGTCTCTGGTTGCAGTCACCCACGAGGACAAGGCTACAATTGTTTTTTGGACTTGCTGTCAACATTCACAAAGGGACCAGAGCAAGGCTTAGCTAGTTCCCTGAGCTTGACCCTCACCTGGGAAGACTCTGTTAGTTCCTATGGGTTTCAGGCATTGAGGTTCTTCCCAAAAACACACATTCACTCAGGATTCCATTCTTACCTTATACATTTACTTGGAACATCCTCTGAACCCATAATTAAGTTGATTGTCTGTGTGTGTGTGTCTGTGTCTGTGGGTGTACATGGAGTGACAGTCAGAGGACAACTTGTGTAAGTTTTTTTCCAACCATATGGGGTCCAGGGATTGAAATCAGGTTGTCAGACTTGGTGGCAAGTGCCTCTGCTGGCTCTGAAGCCTTGTACTTTTCGTTGTCAATTTTACATGGTGAAAGTTGAGAAGAGATCTAATTGGAAGGGGTATCTATCTTCACAGTATCATTTCTGCAACTGGATGAAATTCCTTTGCAGGGCAGATGTTATCTTGTTCCAAGTTTTGATTCTCTGAATTGTGTTTCTAATAGACAGTGGACTGAAGCCTGTTATAGTCACAGCACCGGAAAATGTAGAGGTGATGGATGGAGACTTTGTGACCTTGTCTTGCAATGCCACCGGGGTGCCTGTCCCTACCATTCATTGGTATGGCCACCGTGGATTGATAACCAGCCATCCATCTCAGGTCCTCAGGTCCAAATCCCGAAAGTCCCACCTGCTCCGACATCGGGACCTGGACCTGGAGCCTGTCTACTTCATCATGTCCCGGGCTGGCTCAAGCTCTCTGTCTATTCGGGCAGCTACTCAGGAGCATGCTGGGAAATATACCTGTGAAGCCACAAACAAGCATGGTGCCACACAGTCAGAAGCTTTCCTTACGGTTGGTGAGTTGCTTTCAGCATTTTCCTCAGTAGAACACTGCCCTTTTATTGTAGGGGAAAAGATTATTTGAAATGTTATTTTAAACGAATGTATGTTTTCCCTGTGGAGATACAGAGCTGCATTTGAGGGTGTTTTGCTGTATAGGAACCAGGTGGGCCTTGGTCTCCACTTCCTATTTAAATCTTACTTGGGAGTGAGCTCAAAATACAATCTGTCTTTGTGATTAACGGCTTTGGGGTTTGGAGGTACTGAAGAGGTTATTTCACATAGTTTTCAGAGGAGACCTGAGAAGCAAGATTCTAAGTCTGAAGGGTTGGCTTATATTGACAATATAGACTTAGGGGCCTATCAAATGCCCATATGCGACTATGTAAGTTATTTTCCTGATGGGATATTTAATTGTGTTTATGTGCTATTGATTTGTCATGCTGATGACTTAACAGTTTCATAGGACTTTTGAAGTATTCAAATTCAGACCTTACACCAATGGGCATGTAGAACAGTGCTCCCCAATGTTCAGTTAGAGGATGGTTGAGTCGGTCTGTTAAACGGTCAAATCACCTGAGTCAATTGTTGCTGTGTTCTTCTGAGATGTAGGATGGCCAGTACTGCTTTAGTATGGGGACACAGAGACTCCTGTCCTGGCACACTCCTTTTTTATGGTTTCATAAAAAAGCAGAGGAGGAACCTTAGGGTGGTCTTGGCAGAAACGTGCTGGTGCTACAGTTTGGGTGTTACCATTGCTGTTTCCCCACATAAACAAGGAGTTTCTAGCTCTGGGTAAACTTGGAGGCCAGAAGGTAAGTGTGGAAAAGCTAGGGACCTGAGCTTCCACATGTGCTGTTCCATGGGTGTGAGAGGTGGGACAGTGTGTGACTGTGAAGTCACCAGTTGCTGAACTCTGCTTGCTCTCTGATATGTGTCGCTGATGTCCTGTACGTCGGATTAATATGCAAGTCTAAGAGGCCAGGGAAACTGTTACAATGCCATCTGGTAACAAATCATTCCATAAATATAACAGATTATGATTATTGCTATCTAATTACTGGTAAATTATTGGTATTCATTATGGTGATGTTTGTGGCAGGATAAGTTAGCTATTGGCTTTAAGTAGAGGTAGTTAATAGTATGTAAGTTTAGATATATGACTATGTATGTGCACATATGTGTATGTATTTGTATATACATATTTCACTAGGCAAAATAAGAGTGGCACAGCTTAGAATTATTAGCTTCTAATAGGTTTACAAGGGCTGCCTGGATAGAATGTGGCAGGCATGATTATTTTATGCAAATGTGCAGCAGCCTAAGGAGATGTTATGATTGTAGCTGCTGGAGCTAGATGTTTTGTCTTTCTCACTTTGAGTATGAGAAATCTGAAACATTTAGCATTTCATAACCCAGCGTGCTTAGATTAGACCTTCAACAGTCTCCTTAGTTCCAGATCCTGTCCTGGTAAATACCATTTTAATGAGCAGTGACACTGTCAGCTGCATCCTACCCACCTGGGCTTTTTGCTCCTTCAGAGAAGTGTTAAGACCCGTTGAGTTTATTAAAGCTCAAACACTACATACTAACGCACATCTTTGCATAGAAACCCGAGTCTCATTAAGCTCTAGCATTAACTGTCAGTTACTTTGTTCATTGTGGAGAGGGAAAGCCAGATTTCAAAGAGAGGTGACACCTCCCTCTCCCTTGTTTCCAGAGACCTTAAATTTTTGAGGTCTTGGATGTAAAATATGGCAGAGTGAGTTGTGTCTGTAACTCTAATGGTGCCTGGCCTTGCAGTGTGGTGTGGGTGTGAGTGGTCACCATGGGGACACCTTGGTCAGGAGTGGTTGTGTTCCACGTTTCATTAGTTTCTCTGCAGACTCACTGAATTCATTAACGTATCTATATTTTTTCCTAATTCAAAAGCAGTCTACCTTTAAGCGAGGGAGGTGGTTCATACTTGTGGTCAGAAACTGGGAGACTGAGGCAGGAGTATTGCTACAAGTTCAAGGCTATCCCAGAGTATGGAGGAAGACTCTGTCTTGAAGGACCAAACCAAGCAATCTGTCCAAAAAAAAAAAAAAAAAAAAAAAAAAAAAAAAGGGACATGAAGTTGGGAGACGGGGGCAGGGGTGCTAGGGAGAATTGGAGGAACGTAGTGATAGACAGATATGATCAAAATACAAAGTTTAAATGTGTGAAACTTATAAAGAATAAACATTAGTTTTAGAATACAGAAATACAATTCTACCCATTTTTATAGTTGTTTTTGAGCATAAACTGAAATAATAATAACCATGAGACTTTCAAGTATCTAGACCTTCCTTAACTTCTGATGATTTAATTTAAAAATTTTCAACTTCACTTTCAGTAGAAAGGACACTGAACTTTGGCCTTTTCTTGGGCTGCCAGGAAGAGCTGTGTCTGACCCTGGGCAGTAACGATGAGATGTTCCTCCCAGTCAGCCCAACCAGGCAAGGGGCACATAAATACTCTAGTGTGCTGTTGCTAAGTGATGGTGTCTGACCGGTTGGGAACATAAATATACTTTCTCAACTTAATATTTTTAATTTATGATGAGTATATTTGGATAAAATGAAAAACATCTACATGGCTAATCTTCAAGCAGTATCTAATATAACTTTTTAATTACCCACACTAGATTCTTTGCAACAGTAGAGGTTGGTTAGTTGTGACAGGCTGCTCTGCACCTGGAGTGACAGAAATGGAACTGAGATGCTCTTGCATGGACAGGCTGCGTTTTTCTAACACTTCTGTATACACTGAGGTGTGTGGTATGGAAACTCTTTTGTGGCTAGATACCACTTCCCAGTGGTCAGCTGCCTGGAGGATCCAGGAAACTACTAATGAAACAAGAGTCCTTTCCCACCACCCGAGCCACAGCTAATCCCCTCCAGCTAGAGCCCGATTCTCTGCACTGGCAGGTACCACATCCACCCTGAATGTCTACTCCGCTCTGACTCACTAGGTAAACATGCTCCTTCCAGGAGCAATATTTTCAAGTTGTCTCAGTGAACTTAATTAGTTTTCTTCTGCAGTGTTTCACACTAGCTTCTTATTTTCTTTGATGGAGGATGACTCTAGGACATTCTTTCTCTCTTATACTAACTTGATCTTCCACTGTTAGTCTGTTCTTGCTGGTTCTTTGTTCATGTGTGGTTCTAAAATCACACCCACCTTTTACCAGGAGCCTGACTTCATTGTAGGGGGAACCATTTCCTCTGCTCACTTCCTCCTCAAGGGAGTGAGTAATAGGGGATCCATTGTTGCCAATGCTCACAGCACTGGAGAGAAGCCATTGTCAATCCCTGGGCTTTATCGCACCTTGTCTGACAGATCTTGCTCACACTTTCCCTGTTCTCACAGCACCCTTCTCTTCTGCAGCTGTTGTGTAGAATTTCCACACTCCAGCTCTGCACCCCTAAAGCAGGAGGAAGTACTCCTCTCTACCTGAGAATTAAATGAGATGGTTCAGATTAAATACCTTGTTGCAGTTCTTGGCACACAATGTTCTCAGTAGTTTTGGGTATATGCCTCTTTGTTTGTGTGTGTGAAAATGTATTATTTTTACATTCAATATATTTTAAATACTGTTGGTTGTAGGAATTAAGATTTAGCTATCTTTAGACTGGCAATTTTTGCATGATATTTTTACAAATTATTTGAGAATTTCATATCACTGTTTCAAGACCAGGTGAGGTCAGGTGCGTTCATGGTGGTATGGCCGTAGACTCATACCACTTAAAAACATATCCACCCTCCCTTCCCCAACAAATTTCCAGACGACCCTTTCTATCCTCCCATCACTTCCAACCCAACTTTGAGATTTTTTCCCCCCGTTGGGTCCAGTATGTGTTATCCAACTAGTTTTGGGAGTGGGACCTGTCCTGCTGTGTGGTTGACCTACCAGAGGCCACATCTAAAGAAAGTTGAATCTTCCACTCCCAGGAGCTATCCTGGCAGTAGCTCCTTGGTTAGTGGTGGGATTTTGTGCCCACCTTACTTCCTCTATGCTGGGACTTTATCTGGTCACATTACCCATCTGGTCATTAGTTGAGCATGGGAGGGGGGGAGGGAAGGAGGGAGGGAGAGAGAGAGAGAGAGAGAGAGAGAGAGAGAGAGAGAGAGAGAGAGAGAGAGAGAGAGAGCTGCCCAGCTGGCATTCTCCTTTGTTTTTAAGCCCAGGGTCCAGTCCATAGAATGGTGCTACCCATGTTTGGGGTGAGTCTTCCTACTTCAATTAATTCAGCCTAGAAACTCCCCCACAAGCATGCCCAGAAAGTTTGCTTCTGTGGAGATTCTAGATCTCAAGATTAACCCTTACAAGTGGGATACCTGTTAATGAGTACTGACTTCCCAAAAGATTAGTAACACAGCCTCTCTGCTATTCCATTCCGTTCTGTTCAATTCTTCTAGTTAGCTAGATGCAGCTGGAATGTTCTTTCTTTGGACTTGCTTGGGTCAGTGATTTGTAACTTGATTCTAATAAGAGCGCACAGCCAAAGTAGCTTTACTCTCTCATGGACTTTTGTGAAAGTGGACCCTCATGTCCATCTCTGTCTGTGAAATCTCTACATGAGACTGGCTGCCACATGTCTGTGGCAGCCAAACCCTGAGAACAAAAGTAAAAGCAGAACTAGCACTTCCTGAAGCTTAAACTGAGATTAAGGGCTAGAGTGTGCTGCTTAAGAGGGAATTCTGGGAAGTAACTTTGGAAACTAGCTTCCCAGAGGGCAAGAGAACAGTGCTGACCATTAAAAAAACCAACAAAAATCCCACTGCGTTTATTTGTTGTGTATGTGGGGATGGATGAGGGTCAGAGGGCAACTTGTAAGAACTGGGTCTCATCTATCTACTGTGTGGGTTCTAGAGATGGAACCCAGGTTGTCAGGCTGGTGCCATTGCTGACTGGGCCATCTAACTGTCCCCATGTTCTTTTTCTGTCACTTTGTTCACAGTAGAATGCATTACCCGTTGTGTCAGACTCTTCAGTCTTTTTAAATTGAGTTAGTAAATTGTTACTGTAAAAACTGAATATTAATACAGAGCTAAGTAAAAACTAAAAGTATTTTCACTAGTCAACTATTGTGTCATGCTACTGGTTTTCCAAACAATCACTGTTTTCCACTGAGTAGACAGATTGACAATAGAAGCTAGATGTCACTAAATGTTGCTTGTTTTAATGTCTCATATTCAAGTTCTGCTCATAATGTCAGCATGAGTACTGATATTACTTAAGGAGAAGATGCTGGAAAAGTGAACTTCTGCTCCCCTTATTTTTCTCCCCTCTGTGCAGTTCCTTTTGAAACAAATACAAAGGCAGAGTCGGTAACACCTTCTGAAGCTACTCAGAATGACGAACGAGACCCAAGAGATGGTCTGGAGTCTAGTTTGCTGAGCTTGTTTCCAGTGAAGGTGCATTCCAGTGGAGTGGAGTTGCCAACACAGAAAAATGCCTCCGTGCCCGATGCTCCTCATATACTGAGTCCCCCACAAACCCACATGCCAGATACGTACAACCTGGTGTGGAGGGCAGGGAGGGATGGCGGCCTGCCCATCAATGCCTACTTCGTGAAGTACCGAAAGGTAAAGCCTTCCCGTTCATTTTTCTTTTCTCGTTCCTTAGCCCTGTGTATGTGCAAAACCTTTGCTTATTGTGTTTTACATTTGTGGGAGGGTAAAAAGGGGAGTGTTCTAGAATACGTTTGTCAGAGGTATCGCCCCCAGTCATGCTGGATTGACACATCTTAGGAAAACAGAACCAATGAAGTATAAATATTTTTTCCCCAAATTGAAGTTTGAATCCAAAGTAACCATACCATTTTCCCTCCCTCATGCCTGTGCTGGGGTGGAACTCCAGGCTAGAGATTTCCAATGGACTCTGCCTCTAGCCCCATCACTCACCGTTTTCTATAAAGCCTCTTGTTTTAACCCACTGGGCATCAAACTCTGTAAACTACTTTGAAAACCTTAGTTCTGTACTTTGTTGAGATGGTAGAATACTCATCAAATAAAGGATACCTGTTGGAGCAAGGCCCTCTGGCATTGTCTGTGACTACCACATCGTAGACTGGCCTCTTAGTACTAGAATCTTAAATGGTTTGGTTATTTATTTTGGTCATGCTTGGGCCTCTATATATTGATTCTTTGGGTGACATTTTTCCTCTGCAGGTTGTATTAAAGCAAGATTTAAAAGTTCCTTTATGTAACGAGAATGATACATTTCATAAGACAAATGGCATTGTATCTCTTGCCTACAATAATACATCACTTCTGCAGACTCCTCTAGAACTAAATGAATACTAGGTTTTTGTAATTGGGCGAAATGGTTTCTTGCTCTCATCTCTTACTATTCTGGGTTTCTCTTGATTAGCTGGATGATGGCACTGGTACAGTGGGCAGTTGGCACACAGTTCGTGTCCCAGGGAGTGAAAATGAGCTGCATCTAACTGAGCTAGAGCCATCGAGTCTGTATGAAGTTTTAATGGTGGCCAGAAGTACAGTTGGTGAAGGACAGCCTGCCATGCTTACCTTCCGGACCAGCAAAGGTGAGTGCCACCTTCCATTAGAGTGAACTGGCTACTTAATGTCAATTTATTAGTAAGAATCCCATTGGATAGTAGAAATCCTAAGATATAAATCCATTATACGTGCATACTATGCTCCTTTTGGGGGCTGCACTTAAGGGGTTGTATTCTTTATTCTGTTGTAATATTCCACACATGTTTTTTGCAAGTTCATGATCCACAGCATTAAGATGGGCAAGGCAGGTGTGTCAGAGGTAGTCAGGTTGAGATCCAGCCCAGTGGAGCTTACACTCTGATAAGGAAGGTTAAGTGCACACTCAGATAACCACTCCAGATAAAATCCAATTGGGCAGTATAGAAAATAGACAACACTAGTCCTTGTGGAGTTCATGTTCTAGGTGGGAGGAGCATATGCCCAAGTACTAACCACCTTGGGGGGGGGTGTTAACGAAGAAATACTTCAGGGATGGACTTGGGAAGTGTCTGAGTTGGAGTCATTGCAAGTAGGTGGCCAGGGATATGGTCAGTATTAGTCAGCAGTGAGGTGTTTTAAAAAAGGGGAAGTAGAAGGCTTTTACACATTAGGGGAAAGAAAGTGCTTGGTGTACACACCAAAGGGGCCTCTGTGATGGAGCAAAGAGGGAAGGTTGTGTGTGTGCGTGTGTGCGTGTGTGTGTGTGTGTGTGTGTGTGTGTGTGTGTGATCTGTAGTTGGATCACACAGCACTCTGTGGAACTTTACAAGTCTTTGCTGGTGATGCCTAGTGAGCAAGGAGGAGCTGGAACATTTGTTCTGGAGTTATGGAGTCAGGTGTAATGGAGGAGAGTACGGTGAGGAAAGACAGACAATGTGAGCAGTACCCTGTCAGAATTCCAGAAGGATCTTCCTGATGAGCAGCTTTTGAGGGGAATTCAGATAGAGGAGGCCATGCTGGAGTTGGCCCAAACACAGGGAAATACTTCAGAGGGACCCCAAAGAAGCATGCTCTGCCCTGCATCTGAGGTTAGAATTTTCTTTGGGCCACCAATCATTTCCCAAATAGTGACATGGAGACTAACAAATTATGAGTACCTGGCCTTCGCTTAGACTTGTCCCACTAGCTCTTTAATTTAACCTGTTTCTATTCATCTGCATTTTACGTCGGGGCTCTTTACCTTTCTTTCCTTCTGTATGTCTACTTTCCTGTTTCCTCTGTGTCTGTTTGGCCCCTGGTATCTTCCTGTGGTCTCTCTTTTTTCCTGAGCCTAAATTCCTCCTATTACTCTCCCTGCCTGAAAACCTGCCATACCTCTTCTCTCACTATTGGTCTTTCAGTTTTTTTATTAGATTAATTAGGTGCTTTAGGCAGACGCGGTAAAACAGCAACATATCTTTACATGGTTAAACAAATATTCCACAACACTGTGCTGTAAGAGAAGAAGCCTCTGAGGATTGGGAAGTATGCATCTAGTGGCTTTGGAAAAAGACTTTCATTTATTCACTACTGGGCAGAAATGAGTTTTCCCATTTTAAATGAATCTTCCGTTAGTCTTCAACACTTGGTCCTAGTTACTTACAGTCTGACATATAACCACTGAATAGCTGTTAATGTTTAAAAACTAAAAACCATTTTCACTTTTGCTTGTTGAAACATTCAAAGTTAGGGTAGCATTTTTCTTTGGAAAAACAACCTTAAGCTCCTTAATTATGATTATTATTTTGGAATGAATACATGCAACAAAAAGGATGGGCTAATCAGAACCTTTGTCCAAGTCTTCATTTGTTGTATTAGTCAAGGTTCTCTAGGGGAGCAGATCCAATACAAGTACATAGATATACACATACACACACATTTACACATACATATAGACAGATATGGATGTACATAGACAAGCATAGACATAAAATACACATATACATACACATAGACAGACATAGACATAGACAAACACGGGCATACACATATGCATACACATAGACAGACATAGACAAACACAGGCATACACATACACATACACATGTACATACACATCGAGAAACATAGATACATAGACATAGGCTTAGACATACATAGACAGGCAGAGACGTACATAGACATACCTAGACATATGTGGACATAGAGGGACATAGACAAAGACATGACACAACTTTATTAAACTAGCTCATGTTAAGTGGTACCGACAGTGTCTCACAGCTGAGAGGCTGAGAACCCTGGGAGGCTGGTCCTTCATGCCCAGTACCTCAGCCATAGGTGCAGTCGCACAGTGGCTGTCTCTCACTGGAGAGCCAACAACATGTTACTTACTGAGTCCAGGAGGCTGGCTGCCTCAGAAGTCTCAGTCTGGTGCTGAAAACCTGGAAGCTTCCTGGAGAGCTGTTTGTCCTCAGTCATTAATGGAGACAGGAAACACAGCAGCAGCAGCTAGGTGAATCCACTCAGCAGCAGAGGAAAGCCAAGCGAGCAAATCTGAGGCCTGGGGTGGGTCTTCCACATCAGTTAAGGCAGGCCGGACAGCTCTTCACGAAGACTCCCTTCTCAGCTGATTGTTAACTCGTGGCAGGCTTACGTTGTTCTTTCCATGTGTAGTACCAATCCAGGTAGTACCACGAAGGAAGACACATTCAGCTTTCTTTTAATGATGCTAGAAAAAGACAAAGCAATTTTGCCCTAGTTCTTGACATCAGCTAAGTATAAGGGAGGTATCGTGTTTAGACACAGACATGTGTATCTTTATAGCTGGTTATGTTTCATATATTTTTTGATTTGTTTTTTTATTTTACATATTTAAGCTTATCGCTTTTTACAAAATGCTTTACAGAAAAAATGGCATCGTCAAAAAACACCCAGGCATCCTTTCCACCTGTGGGCATCCCTAAGCGTCCTGTTATTTCAGAGGCTTCCAACAGTAACTTTGGAGTTGTGCTTACGGATTCCTCTAGGCATAGTGGAGGTAAAGTATCTTCATCTTGTTTGTTTATAAATGTCAGTGTCCTGTTTCACTTGGGGAGATGGAATGAATGGGACATTGGTTACTTAGGTTATATTCTACCCTGCATAGCTACTTTTTATATATGTGTGTGTATATGTGGTGTGTGTGTGTGCATGTATTTGGGCATGTGTGTGTGTGTGTGTGTGTGTGTGTGTGTGTGTGTGTGTGTGTTTAGGCCTGAAGTAGAACCTTACTTACCGAGGACTGATGTCAGAGTTACTTTTCAGAGTTACTGTAAGCACACTACTTATGTGAATATCAGCTTTATAAGAGTAAAGATGACACCTCAAAGGCAAATACTTTACTATTTACTTAACACAACATGTGCAAATTACTAACTGCCAGCACAGCAGAGATAAAGTAATCCTTGCTATCGAGGATTTAAAGCATAGTGGGTAACATAGACATCTAAACACACACACCAGTGAATTGACTGCTAAAAAGTGAAGAGACACCTAAGCCCACAGCAGTGGAACGGATAATATACACAGGCGCCCCAGTAACAGCCAGCTTGTCTGCTCTGCTTATGCTTATACTCCTGGTGATGTGGGACCTCAGGAGAGTTATTCAGCTTGGTCTTGCCTTGATACAAGGGAGAGCACATAGTGGTTCACATGACTGCTCGGCGTCTTGAGCTAAGCCTCAGAAGACAGGAACGATGCCTCCAGATGAAGGCAAGGATAGCTTCTGCAGATGCGCAGATGGACAGATGGCATGTTGCGTTCAGTTAGTTAGTGTGACTTATTGCTGTTGGGGTCGATGATAGTATAAGGAAGCAGGTAGGTGCCCATGTCTTATTTGATACACTTAAAAGTGTAATCTCGACCAGTGGGTAAGGATACTTACTGCCGGAGAGACCAAGTTTGACCCCTGGGACTCACACGGTGAAAGGAGAGAAATGGATTTGGCAAATTGTCTTCTGACCTCCACACATGGGCTGTGCCATATGCCTCTCCACCCACAATAAATAAATAAATTTAAAGAAATGTAATCTTTTCCTGGCAGCTATGAAGAGTCAGTCCTAGTACTTAACCTGGCAAGGGATCATGAATGGTTTCCCCAGGGTGAGGTTTTTTTAATTACGTATGGTATGTTGTTGATCTCTATGATTTCCCCAAATTCTGGAAACTTGACTGCATAATTTGTGGTAGTGGGGGACTGCATTCATGTTACCCCCTCAAAAAAAAAACCCCAACGGATTGTTAAAAGGAAGAAATGTAAGAGACGCACCTAGAAAAATATGAAGATGACCCCAGTGAATGAAGGAGGAGGAGGCAGGGCATAGCTGAGGTTAGAGTAACAGAATCTATGCTGAGTGAGGAGGAGGAAGCTTGGGTGTGGGCACAAGGAACCATTTAAAAGGAGGATGGATGATAAACAATTGTAGGTGAAGATTATGAGTTTGGAATTCTCTAAGTGAAGTACACAGATGAAATTATTTGTTTGCTGTTTCTAAGTGCTTCTTGAGGGCGCAAGCATGTCTGCTTTCCAGGGGCGGTAACTGAGGCTCTGAGGTTTCTGTGTGAGAGACAGTGAGTGCTAGATGACAGTGAGTGTGCTGGATGATAGTGAGTGTGCTGGACAGTGAGTGTACTAGACAGTGAGTGTGCTGGACAGTGAGTGTGCTGGACAGTGAGTGTGCTGGACAGTGAGTGTGCTAGACAGTGAGTGTGCTGGACGACAGTGAGTGTGCTGGACAGTGAGTGTGCTGGACAGTGAGTGTGCTAGACAGTGAGTGCTAGATGACAGTGAGTGTGCTGGACAGTGAGTGTGCTGGACAGTGAGTGTGCTGGACAGTGAGTGTGCTGGACAGTGAGTGTGCTGGACAGTGAGTGTGCTGGACAGTGAGTGTACTAGACAGTGAGTGTACTAGACAGTGAGTGTGCTGGACAGTGAGTGTACTAGACAGTGAGTGTGCTGGACAGTGAGTGTGCTGGACAGTGAGTGTGCTGGACAGTGAGTGTGCTGGACAGTGAGTGTGCTGGACAGTGAGTGTGCTGGACAGTGAGTGTGCTAGACAGTGAGTGTGCTGGACAGTGAGTGTGCTAGACGACAGTGAGTGTGCTGGACAGTGAGTGTGCTGGACAGTGAGTGTGCTAGACAGTGAGTGTGCTGGACAGTGAGTGTGCTAGACAGTGAGTGTGCTAGACGACAGTGAGTGTGCTAGACGACAGTGAGTCTGCTAGACAGTGAGTGTGCTGGACAGTGAGTGTGCTGGACAGTGAGTGTACTAGACAGTGAGTGTGCTGGACAGTGAGTGTACTAGACAGTGAGTGTGCTGGACAGTGAGTGTGCTGGACAGTGAGTGTGCTGGACAGTGAGTGTGCTGGACAGTGAGTGTGCTGGACAGTGAGTGTACTAGACAGTGAGTGTGCTGGACAGTGAGTGTGCTGGACAGTGAGTGTGCTGGACAGTGAGTGTGCTGGACAGTGAGTGTGCTGGACAGTGAGTGTGCTGGACAGTGAGTGTACTAGACAGTGAGTGTGCTGGACAGTGAGTGTGCTGGACAGTGAGTGTGCTAGACAGTGAGTGTACTGGACAGTGAGTGTGCTGGACAGTGAGTGTGCTAGACAGTGAGTGTGCTGGACAGTGAGTGTACTGGACAGTGAGTGTGCTGGACAGTGAGTGTACTAGACAGTGAGTGTGCTGGACAGTGAGTGTGCTGGACAGTGAGTGTGCTGGACAGTGAGTGTGCTGGACAGTGAGTGTGCTGGACAGTGAGTGTACTAGACAGTGAGTGTGCTGGACAGTGAGTGTGCTGGACAGTGAGTGTGCTGGACAGTGAGTGTGCTGGACAGTGAGTGTACTAGACAGTGAGTGTGCTGGACAGTGAGTGTGCTGGACAGTGAGTGTGCTAGACAGTGAGTGTACTGGACAGTGAGTGTGCTGGACAGTGAGTGTGCTGGACAGTGAGTGTGCTGGACAGTGAGTGTGCTAGACAGTGAGTGTGCTAGACGACAGTGAGTGTGCTGGACGACAGTGAGTGTGCTGGACGACAGTGAGTGTGCTGGACAGTGAGTGTGCTAGATGACAGTGAGTGTGCTAGACGACAGTGAGTGTGCTAGACGACAGTGAGTGTGCTAGACGACAGTGAGCGTGCTAGACGACAGTGAGCGTGCTAGACGACAGTGAGTGTGCTGGACAGTGAGTGTGCTAGACGACAGTGAGCGTGCTGGATGACAGTGAGCGTGCTGGACAGTGAGTGTGCTAGACGACAGTGAGTGTGCTCACAGCTGGTGGAGGAACTGCTGTAGGAATCTGTTTTCCTAGTGCAGCTACTGCTGTGAAAGAGACTGAGTGTGCTCTTCTCTGTGGACGTTCTCAGTGACTTTCTTTCCTCTTTGACCTGTGGCATTTGGTGAGTTTGAACTTTGCACCCTGAGAAAGTCTCTTGGTTTTCAGTAAAGATGTGCATTAACATTTCTGCTCATTCTGTTTCTTTCCATTGCTTTCTAGTGGAAAGGAATACAGTAAGTATCTCCCACAGTTGTCTGCTAATGCCTTCTGTTTATCCCATAAGCCATTTGTTTTGTAAAACACCTGGTTTTCTGCATACAAGTACCATGCTCAGTGTGACTTCCTTCGTATGCCTTAGAAATTAGGGTTGAATCGATGCTGAGATAAAGCAAGCTGCTTGAGAAGCATGGACTCAGGAGAAAGACAAGATGTCTTTAGTCGCTTCACCAATATCATGGCCCAGGTTGCCCATCCATGTCTATCTTTAGCAACTCAGTCAGCACTCCGAAAGGCCCACTGGCCTCCGGAGAATCAGATGTCCCCAGAATTCACAGGCGACTGATGTGAAAGCAGAATGGCAGCTTCCTGGGGTTCAGTGTAACCATTCTGCGGGACTCACGAAGGAAGCCGTTACAACCACAGCTTGTTTGTTCAGCAAGGCAAGTTAGGCCCCTGACTTAATACTGGTGACCTCACTCCCAGTGTTTCATCTGCCACAGGGTCTAGTCCTAACCTGTGACGTAGGGCAGCACCTGTGCCTCGTGGTAGTGCTCTCTGACCTACTTGTCTATATGTTTGTGTCGTCGTCTTTCTGTGGCACTGTCCCTGCCTCCCTCACATCCTCTCCTTCCCTTGTTAGTATTGGTTTTGCCCTATTTTATCCGTGCATGTGTTGACAGCCTGTGTTTTCCAACGCAGCAATTCCTGAAGCCTTGAGAGTTATTGTAACCATCAGTAGGTTGTTAGGTTTGTTTTATGTGATTCGGGAAACATTTCAAATAAGAAAACATTTGGGAAAATTATTTACATACCCTAGCCAAAATCAAATCAAAATCACGTGCACGTGGCTTTAGTCATAACCCTAAAATAGAATAGCAGAAACTATCATATTCATTACCATTCATTCTTTGTGAGTCAATTATCATATCTGTAATCATTTGCCTTCCTTCCTTCCAGTTTCCTTTATTTCCTTTCCTATACATTTTACTTCCCCTTAGCTTTTTAAAGAGGACAGGGAGACAGACTGTATTATTATTAGCTATGACAGAAAATTTGATGAGAGACTTATCCTTCATTACAGGGCTTGGGATTTATCCCTCATATTGTTTTTAGGTTATTCCTATCTCTGACACCATGGTGATGGTGAAATGAATGTTCCAATTTTCAGTTCCAGAAGCGCCAGATCGGCCTACTATCTCTACTGCGTCAGAGACCTCCGTCTATGTCACTTGGATTCCCCGGGCAAATGGCGGCTCTCCAATCACTGCCTTCAAGGTGGAATACAAACGGATGAGGAGTAGTGATTGGCTGGTGGCCGCTGAAGACATCCCTCCTTCCAAACTTTCTGTGGAAGTCCGTAGTTTAGAACCAGGTAATAACACTGTTTTCCCCCGTTTACTATTTTATGAGGTAACAAATGCTTATTGTGGTAACTTTTGAAAATCAAATATGAAGACGGGAGTAAGTTATCTGAACTATACTCATCCATAGACAGTGTTTATGTTTTGGTATATTTCTTTCTAGTCTTTTTTTTTTTCCCCTCTATGTCTTTATATCCCCTGGAATCTTGTCGTACATGCAGTGTTGCACCCTTGGTTTTATCTAACTCTGTAAATGCATCCCCCTCTGCTTAACCGTTTCTGTTGCTGTGGCTCTAGCGGTGGAAATGGAAGCCAAGGCCTTGCGCATGCTAAGCAAGCGCTCTACCACTGAGCTACATCCCCACCCTTAACCGTTTCACTTCTAGATTTCTAAGTTGTTTCTCTAGTCCCAGTCACCCGCAAACCTCAAGACTACTAAAAAGAGAGAAAAAGTGTGAATCAACCACTTTTGCTTCTGTAATTTTAAGTATACACAGATGTATGCTTAAAATATTTAAATATCTGTGTCTAACTTTCTGTCGTGGGGAGCGGATGCAGTTAGTTGGGAAAAAGGACAGCGGTTTTAGATATGAGTGGAACCAAGTGATACTTTCTAGACTAAAAATCTTTCAGTGATTGTGTTTGAGTGATGAGGACACTCGCTTTAGGATTTTAATTTATTCTTTAGATGCACCATAACATCACCACAGGTTTTTATAGTTAAAAATGTTTTGTTTTTGCCCTACCCCCTCCCCCAAGGTTCAACATACAAATTTAGGGTCATTGCTATCAACCATTATGGGGAGAGTTTTCGGAGCTCAGCATCCCGTCCTTATCAGGTGGCTGGCTTCCCAAATCGTTTTTCCAACCGCCCAATAACCGGACCTCACATCGCATACACAGAGGCTGTCAGCGATACTCAGATTATGCTAAAGTGGACGGTACGTGAATGGACATCTCCTTATATGAGACTTCATATCAGTGTAATGTTCTTGTGATGTGATGTTATGTCTTGTGTGAGATCAGTTGTTGAACTTTTAATAGTGGGAAAACGGAAGGGCACTGATGTTTGTCTAAAGCGCATATTCTAAGAAACAGAGTTAAAATGAAATTATTGTTTCTTCTGCTCCCATCCAAATGTTGTTAACTTAATTGACACTTTATGATCTATTCTTTTGAACCATGTGTACATTTATTTTTGAAGCTTGTGAGGTGTATACTGTTCCATTTTTGTTTAGTTCTTCAGTAAGCTAAGTGCTAGTATACCTTTGAATATCTCTGAATCAAATTCAAAAATGGCCATTACATATAATGCAAAACAAAGCTGGAGAAACATTTCCATGCAGATAAAAAAACTCGGATATTGCTTTTATTTTTGCCTTTGACAGGTTTTTGTTTCTGTTTTCTAGTATATTCCATCAAGTAACAATAACACTCCCATTCAAGGATTTTATATCTACTATCGGCCAACAGACAGCGACAATGACAGTGACTACAAGAGGGATGTTGTTGAAGGTGAGTCCCTTGGTAAGCTGGAGGTCCTGCAAAAGTGCTTTTATGGGGAGGGGCTAACCATCATGAACCCATCACCACAGGCTAAGACTGGGTTAGCAATGAGATGTTTTATGTTTATGCATATGTATATATTACACACACACTATAGTATAGTGTCCTGATTCGTTGCACAAACAGGTATAAAAGTACGGGAGAAAAACGATTCATCAGTAGTTCATCTGATAAAAAAAGACTTTTTTAAAAAAAATTACCAGTGACCTGAATGTATAAATCAATTACAACTTCTTACTACGTTGGAAGTCTCCTCAGTCTGTAGACTAGGATGATCACACATTAAATGTGTTACCAACCTTTAGCAAGGTTGGGAACTTGGAGTGTTTTGTAGAGAAGACAAGAAACAGTCCAGGCATGAAGGGTACTAATACTGATCTTCTGCTGCACTTAGATTTAGAACAATCTAGAGTGTTACCTTTGGCCTCATGGCTGCTGTGACCTACTTGGCCCCATCGCCACCCTTACCCATGCCTTTTGCACCTTTTTCCACTGGAGATGTTGACACCAGCCTCGGGTCCTTGGTGCAGAATGCTTCCTGGCACCCACCGTTCCCTTTTCCTAACACATTGTTCGGGTATTCTCGCTCTTCTTTGTTGGCTTTACATGCCTCTTCCTCAGACCAGGTCTTCCCTTTGTGCTTATTTCCTAACATTTTTGTCGAAGTCTAGATATGTGAGTATGAGTGCTTGAAATGATGTTTCTCTTACTAAATATTGACTTCCTTTAGACATGGGATCTTTGTTCCCTCTGCTGTGTTCCCAGTCCCTGCTGTGGTGGTGTGTTCGGCATTGAATGGATGGATTTCTATGGGCTTGGGAGTCCATAGAAAGCACTGGGGACGTCTGGTGATGCTTGTGCTGGAAACAGGGATCAGCATGAGGGCTGCGTTCACGCCAGCAGACCTTGGTGCAGGAGGGGAGCTGATTCAGTCGAGACGGGTGGTTATAAGGAATGATACAGGGAAGAACTTCCTAACATAAACGTCTAGGTTCCCTCACAGGTTCCTGGAGTCTGGAAGCATCAGGTACAAACCAGATGCTTGATTCTTGGTAATAGCATAGATGGGTTTCTTGGTCTCGAAGGAAAATTTCTTCCAAGCTCTGTTTTTAAGTCCAAGGTACTGATCTTTTGAATTAGTGAATGCCTTGGTTAGATACATAGTAGTTCAGTGCCAGAACATGTGCTTAGCATGTGCTGTGCCCTAAGTTATATCTCATGCACACATACATGCATCCCTCTATACAGAAATATGTATACATAGAGCAAATCTTGTCAGAAAATTACCCTAGGCCTAGGATTTACTATATGACTTCCTGCCATTAAATACATAGGTTTGAAAAAATTAGTTTAAGTATACTATAGCATTTCAAATATTGCAGTATATTTTTTTTGAGATTTTGTTTTTATCGTATATGTCTGAATATCTTCCCTGAATACACGTGTGTGTACCATGTGTGTGCCTGGTGCCTTCGGAGGTGAGAAGAGGGAGTCAGATCCCCTGGAACTGAAGTTATGGATAAGTTGTAAGCTACCGTGTAGGTGCTGGGACAAAACCAGGTCCTCTACGAAATGAGCATGTGCTCCTGCCTGCTGAGTCATCTTTCCAGCCCCTGTAGGATTTCTTTTAGTATTTTTCCAGTGGAGTTACTTTTGAAACATAATACAATTCTTGCAATCTGGGTTCTTATGCTTAGTAGGGTAGCAGCACATGATTATATTTTGAATGAAGGGATGGTTCTTCCTTCTCTGCTGTAGTTTTTGTGGCACACTCAAATCCTGTGCTCTCAGAAGTCAAGCGGGAGAGAAGTGAACACAGGGAACATAAGGAGACAGTGGGAAGCCGGTGGTGTTCCTTTGGTGGTCTAGACACCAAGCTTGGGTGTGTTTGCTTTGTGAACATTCAGTGTGGCGTACTATTGTGTGTGGCTCCTCGGTTTGCATACTTTCCGCCAGTCAAAAGGCTGTAGAAAGATGATTATGACTTCTGCGTTTTGTTCTACCCAAGTCTTTGTTTTAGTTTAGATGATTTAGAAGAATGGGATATCAGATTTTTATTTTTAAGTCTTTTGACATTGGTTAACATTTGGCATAAGATGGTTCTAAACAGAGCTGATGTTAAGTGGCATGAGCAGCTCTCTGTCCCTCTCCCTCACCTTCCTACTTGTACTTTCTAGGAATCCCTGTGGGTTAACAGTTTCTAAACTGTGCTCTTCAGAGGAATCTTTGAACTTTTGCAAGCCTCTGTGATCTGAATGTGATCTTGATGTGAAGAGAGTTTAGCGGCACTTCGTGTCTAGCATTGCTCACAGATGGAATTCCCCCTGGTTCTCAGCAAGCTTGTTTATAAACGTAGCACACTGAGCAGTTAGATGTTTAAGTGGGATCCACTGTGCTGTGTAATTTGCTTACTCCTTATTTTCAAGTTTATTCATTTGAAATTCTTTCTGTGGCACTTGGTGCTATTGGTCTATTCTTCCAAATCCAGGAACAAAATGCTCGTTAAAAGTATGTACTTAAATTTTTCTTTGGAGATTTTGGTTACTTACGTGCATATTAATTCAAAATTTCTACCCCACCCCCAGTGAATCAATAAGGTCATTTGTGTTTCTTATATTATCTTCTAAATTCTTTGCCACATTTAGATGAACTACAAATGTTCTTGGCCTGCCAGTGCTTTTATGTGGAGCATTTCTGTCTTGTTAAGAGGAGTTCCAGATAAGTCAGTGTGTAAAGCTGATTGTGCTCCCTAGTCATCTAACCCTGAGACTTAGCAGAGGGTGCACACTCATGATCCAACCCTGAGGCTTAGCAGAGGGTGCACACTCATTGTTTGGTTTAGACACAATAGTGCACATAGCTGTCTAATTTAACAAAGTTAAAAATTCCCTCTGTTTGCCAGCCTATGGTGTTTGCTATTGGAAAGATTGGGCGCCAGAGTGAAACACAAATCTAATGTTTATCTTGTAGCTGTTTTCTCCTAAAATCTGGTCAGAGGCTTAACCCCACTACTAGTTCTCGAAAGGGAGTGCCCTGGTCTAGTGAGGTGTCGATGGGTGTAGAGCCAGGAAAGCCCAAAAGAAATAGTCTAATGGGGACTTTTACATTTTAGAAACAGGCCCATTCCAGCTTCAACTAGTTTCTTGTTTAAAACAATTTTTTTTGGGGGGGGGGATAGTCTCTTTACAAGTGTCAATGAAGTCTAGAACCCACTCCCAGAGCAGAGACACTGGATCTTAGACAAACCAATTTTTCTTCCCTGTAAAATACAAACCTGTGTGCATGAGGGGGTCTTGTGTGGTGTACAGGGGCTGAAGTGTTTTTGTGTTGGATTAGAAAGGAGTCTGTGATACTAGTCCTGTCGGCCAAGCAGATTTGACTTATGCATGTGGTGTGGTTTTTGTTTTTTTCTAGCCCTTTAATTAATTCTTTAATTGGTTGGTGGTATGCTTGGGTTTCTAGGAAACACTGGAAACAGTTGGAAGAATCAATTTCTAAACGGGATTAAGAGTACTTGAAGAGTTAATTAAAGCTGGCAAAAGTGTCCCTGTTTATGAAAGTTTGTCACAGATCCATGAAAGTGAAAACAGAGTGTGATTTACACCGGAGTCCACAGTTTGGGAGTGTTTCTAAATGAAAGGTTGGCTGCGTGCCACAGATAACACAATCCTAATAGTGGAGACTCTTGTGCAGTTCTGAGGCTCTGACTCAAAAGGGCAGCGGCCCTGGGCACAGTGGTTGAGGGTTCCCATAGCAGTTAGCCTTCTGTGGATCCTCAGCAGCCGGTGATGTGTCCATGGCAATGATGAGAGTTCTGTGAAGGCCTTTCCTGAAGCTGGTCACCTCAGGGTCACACCTGCACTGTCTGCTATCTCACTTGTACTGTGGCTTTTTAGTGCCCAGGCACAGTGGCCAGATTTGCTGGGCTAAAACATGGATTTGAGATGTTTTCCCCTGTGCATGTATTTTTATTGAAGACTTGCCACTCATTGTTTTAAAAAATAAAATCCAGTATTGCTACCAACACACACCAGATACCCTTTAATTAAGTTTATCTTTTTACCTGTTTTACATGCCACTTAGTAGAAATGCTGCTCATCCATGATGCAGTAAAGCATGCTTACATGGCGGATGCTTTTATCTTAAAAGCTGTATGAAACGTGAGCAATGCTGATAAATCGCATTCTGGAAACACCGAATAAGCACATTGGAGTCATCAAGGCCGTGCGATGTCTACAGCTTGCCTCTCCTATCTCTTCTCTAGGTTCAAAGCAGTGGCACACAATTGGTCACCTGCAGCCGGAAACCTCCTATGACATTAAGATGCAGTGCTTTAATGAAGGTGGAGAGAGCGAGTTCAGCAACGTGATGATCTGTGAAACTAAAGGTAGGACAAATGCGGAAGATTGTGTTCCTCCCCAGCCACTATTGGGATCCCAAATCCCAAATCCCATCTTACAATTATTGGTATATTTCTGCGTGGAAATTTCTGCCCTCGATGAGTTTCTAGATCTTGCATTTAGACTGCACCCATAGAAGTACATTGTGCAGGCTAGGGCACTTACCTAAAATATTGTCTGCATAAGCATTAGTGGTGCCCATTGCTTTCCGTGTGACCATACATAAATCACTTCTTTTTTCTCATTGTTCACAAAGAGAGAAGTGTTTGCTAGCTACTTTCTATGAAAATTGAACGATCAACAAAACTACAGAAGATTGAGGAAAAGTACTACATCTGTGTTACAGTTATGAAAATGCAATGGCTGAGCCTGGGAGCCTTAAGAAAAAAGGAGGGGTTGTTTAGTTCACAGCTCTTCAAGCCAAAGGCATGATGCTAGCTCGTGTCAGTTCAGCTCTGTGAGAGGTGACAGGTGGCATCACAATGATAGAGTGCATACAAGAAGGAGTGATCAGAGGGAAGACAGAAAGCCAGGAAGGCCAGACAGGGGCCAGGCCTGTTCTTTTGTAACAGGACTCTCATGAGCACCTACTAGGACCTCACAGAACTTAAGCAGTTTCTGCTGAGTTGGCACGCAGGGACTCCCCTCTAGGCTCCGCCTCTCGAAGGCCTCACTACCTCTTAACATGGCCACACTGGGGACCAAGACTCAGGGATACACTCAAGCCACAGCAATTAGCAATCTGCTTAAGGCAGTTCCTTGAATGACAGATGCATGTACTAGCTACATGTTTAAGTATGTGTTGTATTAAGTTTAAGATAGCAGTCACAGATTCGAAATTCTCATTCTCAACTCTGCCTACACACAGAGAGACTATAAAAGGATCTTTAAGCTGGGCGGTGGTGACACACACCTTTAATCCCAGCACTTGGGAGGCAGAGGCAGGAGGATCTCTCTGAGTTCGAGACCAGCCTGGTCTACAAGAGCTATTTCCGGGACAGCCTCCAAAACCACAGAGGAAACCTTTGTTTCTTGCTTGTTTCTAGAGTGCTGTGATACTCAGAATAATCAAATGCAGCATGTCATCTCTTTACATTAAAGATCTTGCCAGGCAGGGTGGGAGAGGTGGATGTTCCTGCAGAGTGCAGCAGTTGGTCCCCAGCACCTGTGCTGGCTGCTTCACACATGCTGTGACTCTAGCTGCAGAGGATCCAATGCTGTTCTGGCTTCTAAGGGCATCTGAACACTCCTGTGTATATACACACTCAATATATATATATCTTAGATATCTTACCAGGTACAAGATGAAGCAATACTGGTATAGGGTTATAGCCCAGAGAGAAGGCATCTGCTTAGCCATGTCCCAAGTGGTGTGTTCCATCCCCAGCACTGCAAAGAAGGAAGGGACTGAGGCAGTATCATAATGAATTTCATAGTCATGTGGCTGTGTCCAGAATAGCACCCCTCATTATCAGCTGCAGCTTGCAGTCAGTAGACATCTACAGACTGGAGGCTGGGAAGTCAGAACGTAGTGCTGACAGTCTGGCAAGGGCCTCCAGGACCATGTCATAGCTCGGTGGAAAAGCAAGTGAATGAGACCAGACAAAAAGGGGCCACCTCAAACCCATTTTCATATGACCAACCCACTCTTGTCATAATGACGCTGATCCATTAGTGGGGATAAGGTACCTAACTGCCAATTTCACTTTTTAATGTTGTTGTCATGGTGGTTAAATTTCTACATGAGTTTGGAGAAAGGGCAAATTCAGATCATAGCCCATTTTGTTACAGACTTAAGGTAGAGCGACTTTTTTGTCTCCATTTTCTGAACACAGAACAGGTTTGTGGAGGTGACAGTGATACAAGTCACAGGGCTGAGTTTCAGCCACTGTACTCTGTTTATGACAGAGTGGGACTTTTCTATGACCTTTAGAGCAATAAGAACATGTGACTCGCAGATGGGGAGAATGGGGCTTGTGTCACCCCTGTTAAATAGGGTTTGTGATCACAGCTGCCCACAATACCCATGAAGTAGGTAAGAGGACTGTGTTTACATGGACTCTAGCAGACCTCTTTGGGGAAGCTTAAAGGATGTGTGAGGGTTTTGGATTCTAGGTAGTTGCTATGGTAGCTCAACTAATGTTCCTTTTTTACATGATAGAAGTATAAAACACTAATTCCAAGTCTTATTGAGAAGAAAAAATATCACACAGAATGAGTTTTATTTTGTGTGCTTTGGGGGAGGGTGGCTTTTATTTTTATTTATTTTCTGTCCATAAGTTGAAGTATTTTATTTTCGCTCAGGAGTTTTCTGTGAGCACAGTCCAGAAGGTGATCATATAGCTGTTTGTGTCAAATCAATTTGTATGTTTCTTGGCTCTTAGATTGCTAAAAAATTGGTGAACTAAAACTGGCAGATCAGAAATTCAAATTTTGGACCCCTCTTTGTGATTCATTGGTGTTCATATCATCTCTTTAAGGAGTGTAAACACACCAGCTTGCATTCCTAGCCAGACCTCCTTTGGAGAGTCCATTTCATAAACTCTGTATTCACTCTGACTTATTTTTTTTAAATATTTCATCCAGTGAAACGTGTTCCTGGAGCTTCGGAGTATCCCGTGAAAGACTTGAGTACCCCTCCCGGTTCTTCAGGAAATGGAGGGAATGTGGGGCCTGCCACCAGCCCTGCCAGGAGCAGTGATATGTTGTACCTCATCGTTGGCTGTGTGCTTGGTGTTATGGTCCTCATTCTTATGGTTTTCATTGCACTGTGTTTGTGGAAGAGTCGCCAACAGAATGCCATACAGAGTGAGTCATTTATTCTAAGTATTTCCTTGTATTTTTCTAAAGATGGGTAGAAAAAATATTGTCAGAATAAATATTGATTCCTAACACTTTCATGTATTTGTGCCATGGAATGAAGCTGTTAGATACTCTCCACTCAGAGGGGGTGGCTTTAGAACCATTCATGCTGCCAGCCAAAGTAACTGGAGCATCAAATTAAATTGCCCAATAGAAATAAACACCAAAGCCCAAACTAGGCAGGTCTCTGAGTAAATAAGCTGTCTTGGTCCTGGGAAAGCCTGGCTTTGTTGGACCACCAAAGAGGATGAGTGCTTCTGGAATCACTGTAGAAACGTCTTCATGCTGGTACAAGTCTAGTCAACAGGAAATGGCCTGATGGAAAGGAGGTAGCGAAGCTTGTAAAGTTACCGTTGGTAGGTGTCACAAGCAGGGATAAGGTGATCCTGCCTCCACAACTGCTGTACCCAAACTCCTCTGAAGTGGCACACTGTCTCCCAATTACATCAAGGAAGAGGTGTGATTGTAAGTTTGATTATGGTACTGTCCTCATCCATTAGAAACACTAAAACCAAATCAAGCAGGGTTATTAGACGTTGATGAGAGGAAGAGTCTTCTGTTTGGCCCAAGAATAAGGAAAACCATAGTGATAAGTCCTTTCTGGGACCATTGTCAAATTCTCCCCCTTTAAGTTAGTAACTCATGAAAAAACAAATCATCTCTTTTGATGCGACAGTGCCTTCCAAAAGAGGCATGACTGGGTTGGTGCAGTCTGGCAGCAAAACTTGTGACCATTTGATTGGGCCTTATTTTAAATGGTTCTAAAGCTTTAAATTGTGCGTATGTTGAGTGGTCAAGCATTGTTCTGGTTATTGGAGCAACATGGATCTGATAAGAAGCTGTTTTCCATTGTGATGACAATATTTTTACAGAATGGATATTATTATGAGAATGTTTATCCAGCCACTTATGCCATCAGAAGAAACTCATTGTCTTCTGCCTGTCTGACACTGCCAAACAATGGAGATCAGTAAGATAAGATAATCAGGCCTGCTCTGAAGGAGCACAGACAAGCTAGCACAGGAGGGTGTGTACCTGTGGGGGAAGCCCAGGACCAGGAGATGCTTGAGAGCACTTAGCTGGAACCTGGCACTAGATCTGTATAGTTCTGCCGAGAGAACTCTTGGGAATATCTTTGCTTTTTCTAAATGTATCTGGCAGATGTGCTTCTGGGAATCAGAATTTTCTCAAGTGCGTTTAATACATAAGGATAGGATCTCCTTTGGTACCTCACACCCTCGGCATGCACAGTGACAGGAGGAGCTATTAAATAACCAGCAAATGGACACATGTCATCTTTTTTTTCTCCCCAAGAGTGCTGCTTACTGCTGTTTAAACTGTTGTTTTACTCAGTATCCTGACAGTTGTTCAGCTCTCTGAAGTGTGTGGGAGCCGAAACGCTCCCACTTAACTGTTGCCGTCACTTGGATGATTTCCTTTCGCACGTTATTCCCTTGGGAGTAATTTCTCCCTGATAATTTTTTCCTTCTACTAAAAGAGTTTGAGTTAATTCAATGTTCCAAGCTACTCTTCACTCTAAAGAAGAAACAGCAGCAACTTTACCAAAGCTTGTGCAAACAGCATGTTTTATTTTAGTCTTGTTTGTTGTGTCTTAGTGATATTATTAATAAAATTTCTCAGCAGGAAGAGTTTTTCCTTCAGGACCTGACTTTGCTTTTCCTTCTGGGCTTGTTTATTGTTTTCAACAGAATATGATCCCCCAGGATATCTCTATCAAGGGTCAGAGATGAATGGGCAGATGGTAGAGTATACCACTCTCTCAGGAACAACCCGGATCAATGGGAGTGTTCACGGAGGCTTCCTCAGCAAAGGCAGCCTTGGCAATGGCTGTTCTCATCTACACCATAAAGTCCCCAATGGAGTCAATGGAGTCCTGAATGGAAGCATAAACGGAGGGCTTTATTCTGCACACACAAACTCGCTAACCAGGACATGTGTGGAGTTTGAGCATCCTCGCCATCTAATGAATGTAAGAGACCTCATTATAAATTATAGCTCCTCAGGGCTTCAGTGGTGGGGTGCAGGGACTGGTGATCACTCGACATCTTTACTATAGGTTCCTCGTAAGTCATGGATGTGGGCGTGGCATATGTTGCTAGCAGCTCCAGATCCAGAGGAATCTTCATCGGTTTTCTGCCATCTGCAATAGCTGTATTTGTCAGCCTGGTCTAGCTTTAAATTATTTGCCACAAAGCAGAATGCAGGAAAGAACACATTGGGAGTTATTCTTGAGACAAAATGGAAAATGCTGCTGAGCAAAGACCAGATGGTTTGCATTTGACTTACTTGGAGCTGAGTCTGAGAACGCAAATACTGTTGAGTCTGGCAAATGCAGGAACATTCTGCAATGCCCCAGTAGAAGGAGGTGCTCCCCATTGAAGAAGCAGTTCCAGTCATGTACCTGCACCTCCTGCACAGTGCAGGTCCTGGTGTTGGTGAACTTTTTGCCCTTTCAGAACACTTGCAAATACAGGTAGAAATCACTCGATGCTAGGACATCACTCAGATTTTTGTTGTTGTTGTTGTTCCATGTTAGAGATGGAACCTGGGCCTCTCCTATAGCAGGCAAGTGCTCTACAGATGAGCATCACCCCCAGCTGTATGAAGACCATGTAAACGGTCTCTACAGGCTGCCAGGTTATGACTCCTGACACATGATGAGTTCATTTTTCCCAGTAACTTTTTTTTTTAACCCTGTGGCGTGTAAGCCTTTTGAATTTTAGAATATTAGCATTTTTTTTATTTTTTATTTTTGGTTTTTACGAGACAGGGTTTCTCTGTATTGTTTCGGAGGCTATCGGTCCAGCCCGGCCTCGAACTCACAGAGATCCGCCTGCCTCTGCCTCCTGAGTGCTGGGATTAAAGGCGTGCCCCACCACTGCCCGGCAAATATTAGCATTTTTAACCACAAGGAGTTCAGTTGCAAACCCTTGAAACTTCCTTATTTGTGAGATAACACAGTTTTGTTTTTTCCGATGGGACTAAAATGACTGGCACAGTTTAGATAGTGTTGCTTACATGGTTCATGTATGAGGAAGTTAGATATATTTCTGGCTGGGCATTCATATTATCTTTAAATCAAACAATTTGTTTAGTTGATCAAATTAAATATTTGTTTAGTTTTTACTATTATTCTAATTACAAAGACATTTGCTACAATCTGAAAAAGTTAGTTTTCTTTTTTTCACCTTCAATTTAGTAAAGATATTGAAATATTAGATTTGCAAAACATAAACTGTAAGGTTCATTTGTATCATAAAGCTAAAAACCTATGGTTTTTGTGTGACTGAATTTTTGTACATTCTACAAAGTGTTTCACTACCAAGAGATAATAATTCCTTTATTCTTTGAAGCGAGTCATGGCTTGTCACCTTGCCCAGGCTACTCCCTCCTCGCCTCAGCCAAGGAGCGGAGAAAACATTCCACTAGGAACAGCTCGGGCTGTTTCTGTGAGAAGGAACCCTATGGTTGATGCTTCCAACTCGGAATGCTGGGTTTTCAGAACCGACTTGCCATTGAAATGATATCTGCCCTGTTAGGTGCGCAGTTTTAGAGGCTGTCAGTGTGATCCCAAACTTTTCATCTTCCTACTCTTCTGAAAGGAAAGACATAACAAATTAAAATCTAACTAGTGATCATGAAAACCATTGACTTGACTTTGACAAATTCAGCAGTTCTCATAAACAACACCATTCTTCTCAACCCCTGGAGTTTGCCCACATTGGCTGAATGTAGTCTAGGGTTGGTCATTCTGCCTCTGTTTTCTTCATCCTTCCTGTTGTTAGGTGGATCAGGGTTACTGAGAGAAATTTCTAGTCTTGGTTTGCTTGGCTGTTGTTATAGGATAAATGAAATGGGAAGTGTTCTAGCAAAAGCAATTGTCTGAACCCTTCCTAACCTTGAAGGCCTGCTTGAGGTTTGAGTGCTCTGTGACAGCCCTCCCACCCTTCAGATTCAGCTCTGCTGTTTTTCTCCAGAAAGCAGAGCTCTGACTCTAAAGCCAGTCAATCTTTAACTTCCTGTTTGCCATTCTGTATGTCAAGTGGACATTTTACAATGAGGTATGTGTTAATCTGGGCATTTTCCTTAATTGCGGAGCAGTTTCCGCCAAAAGCAACATCAAAATATTAATATTCCCTCCAAGTCATTGCTGGCTGAGAGTCTACTCCATCTGGAAAAATAATGACGTTTTAAAACAGTGCAGTCAAGTGAACAGACCTAATCGAAATAATTACAGGAAAATGAAGATGGTCTTGTGACATCATTCAAACAGACTTTACACCCTGTCTCTCTAACTGGCATCACATAAGTTCTTTCCATGACTGCTAGAAAAGAAAACATGAGTAGGCGCTTATGATGTATAATATATTTTAAGGCATAAATTTGAAATACTAAAAGGAAGTGACTAACCTCACTCCGTTTATTTGCCCTTTTCCAGTACAGAAGTACCTGGAAGAATGTGGCAGCTCAGCGTTAGGGGGACAGTGTAACACTGTGCGGGGCTCACTCGTGAATAAGTAGCAAGCATCACGTTGCTCAGGCAGTGTGTGAAAATGTACCACACATCCATTTGTTATTGATACGTGTTTGTGATTATTGAGCAAATGGTCTCTGGCCCCTTCAGCTTCTTCTTTTCTTTCTCCTTGAATGTTGTCCTGAACAGGGTGGAGGAATGTACACAGCAGTCCCTCAGATTGACCCTCTGGAATGCATTAATTGTCGGAATTGCCGGAACAACAATAGGTATGTTAGCCTGTGCCCAGCCACACTGCTGGGACCAACGCATTCTGGGCTGCCTCCTTGTTTCCCTAACCTTAACACAAAACTTCACTTTCCACAATTTAAGGCTGTTAATCACCACCCCCGCCCCAGTTTTGTAATTTTTACCTTTCTGTGCCTCAGTTTCTGTAGACATTTAGTGACAATGCTAAAGGATTTTTTCTTAAGAGAGTGCTGTTGAAGTGGAGAGTTGTTCTCTATATACATTTCTGTCTTTAACCATTTCTTATTTTCATGTCTGTGTTGGAATGAGGGTAAACACAGTTGGTCATGTTGAAGTAGTAAACAAACAAAAGTATCTCCTTTCTATAGGGTAGTCTTTCCATAATAATATTGCCGGAACTTTCCTATTAGATTATTCAGTGTTTCCTTTCTTTTCTCTTTTTACTTTAATTCTTAAACTCCTAAGACACTTAAGAAGAAAATTTTTACTTGGGCTGTAGTAGTATATGCCTTTAGTCCCAGCACTCAGCAGGCAGAAACAGGTGATCTCTGTGAGTTTAAGGCTAGCCTGGTCTACACAGTGAGTTTCAGGCCAGCCAGGCTACATAGAGAGACTCTGTCTCAAAACAGAAAAAAAAAAAAACACAAGAAATTTTGCATATGTATGCCTGTGTATGTGTACATGTGCATATAGCACAAATAATAAAAACCCAGAGATAGATATTGGGGTTCAAGCTGGAGATCAGGAAAGCAAAACAGCCAAGCCACTAGAGTTGTCACTTCTACCAAGGCTCAGACCAAAGGGCTGATCCTGTCCTCAGAGTGACTGCAATGCTCTCCACCAAACCTCAGACTTCCCTGAGACTGCACTGAGCTCCTGCCTTATATTCATTCCTCTCTAGTGCTGGGATTAAAGGCAGGTCATCCCAAGTGCTGGCACCAAAGGCGTGAGCTCTGTTTCTCTTTTAGACTGATTCACTCTCATGTAGCCCAGAGTGGCCTTGAACTCACAGAGATCCACCTGCCTCTGTCTCCCAAAGTACTGGGATTAGAGGTGTGGCCACCACTGCCTGTCCTCTATGGCTAACGCGTGCCTTAGCTCTTAACTAGGTATGTGGCTAACTAGTGGCTAGCTCTGCACTCTGTTCTTCAGGTAAGTTTTATTTGTTAGATTACAAATAAAATGTTACATGTGTGAGTGTGGAATTTAAAGGATGACTTCAGATGTCATTCCGTCGTAGTTCTACTTTGTTTTTTGAGACAAGATCTCTCACTGGCCTGGAGGTCATCAAATAGTTTATGCTGGCTCATAAGCCCTGAGGATTTGCCCTCTCTGCCTTCCCAGCACTGGGATTACAAACAATGTACATGAGACCAGGATTGGGGTGGGGGTTGACATCAGTTCCTCATGCTTGAATGGCTGTCTCTTCAGCCCAAACCTTGCTTTTTAAATTTACATTTTAACTGTAAAAGTGATACATACATTATTTCAAATAAGATAAAATTATGTAGGATAATATGTATGTTTAAGTCTTGACACATAGGAAACAGGCATGGTCGCACATCCCTATAATCTTAGTGACCTGTCATCCCTAAATTTGGGATTATTATAAATTTAAGGTCAATCTGGACTACATAGTAAGACCCTGTCTCAAACACAAGCAAACGAAAACATACCAAATCTGACACATTGAATATAAGAAAGCTTTCATACTATTTCTGTGTATATTAATTACTATATATTAAATATTAATTGCAAAAAACTAGCAGGCCGTTTGTTAAGAATCTTGAATTTTAGCTAGGCCTGGTAGTACAAGCCTTTAATCACAGCTACTTGGGAGGCTGAGGCAGGAGAATTGTAGGTTCAAGGCCAGTCTGGCATGGTGGTGGAGGCTCTTAGTTCTTCCATGTGCTTCTGTGCGTATCAATTCCAAAGGATTATTGAAGGTGCATCAGAAATCTTTGTTCCTTTCCATAATGATGGTATTGAAGTACATAATCCTGAAATTCTATGACTAGAAAACTTAGTACATTTTATAGCTGGAGTGTAGCTTGAAGTTTGGATTGTACATTGTCCAGAAGGGTTCAATTTGTTGCTTTTAAATGAAGTAAAAGGTTTAAGAGTTATCCCTGGGAATCGCTGATGCCAGAAAGATATACAGCCTTCGAACCGGGCTGGGTTTGCTGTGGAATGAAGGCAGCTAGAAAACAAACAGTACATTGTTTTAGCAATTCTCAGAACAGAGTAATAAATCATTGCTACTTTTTGTTACTTACTTAACTTGTAATGGCTTATATATTAGTGAGAGCTGTCTGCCCTAGTTTGTGTCCTAAGCTTCATATTTCACTTCTGTGACACTCATTTTGAAAATGTGCATATTATCAAAGCTATATCTTTTGTTCAGAGTTTGTCACAATCACCAAAGTTTGTTAAGAAAACATATGAAGGAATTTGTAAACCTACGTGTGGTAGCTCTTGCCAGTAACCCCAGTCCTTAAGAGGCTGGGGTAGTCAGAGTGTCATAAGTCTAAGGTTAGTTTAGGCTGCACAGCAAGCCTGTGTCTCTAAAAACTACTGAGGAGGAGGAGGAGGAAGTTGATGAAGCTGGCTCACACACTTGGCAGTAATCAGGTGGGTTAATTTAACAAGCAGCGACGAGAGGTTTTAATGCCTTGTGTAGTCCTTGTGTGGTTCTTGTGGTCGTCAAAGATCTTGACTATTAGAGTGTTGTGATGAGAGGATCTTTGGTCTAAGTAGTCCTGTGCTTTGCCACTGCTTAAACTTGTGATCCTGGGGAATTTACTTGGTATCAGAGTTAGCACACTTACCTGAAAAGTAAAGGAATATTCTAAGTAGTAGAAGAGTAGAATTTAATAAAATGTCCTGATGATGAGATTCCATCTCAGCGCCCAAAATAGGTCACCTTCCTCCCTCCCTCCCCTCATCCCCCACTCCCCCTTCCTTTCCTCCTTTCCTTACAGCCTAGATCTCATTTCTTTAAAAGAATTTAAGTGACCTCTGCCAACTTCAATTTGACCAATTGTATGCCCAGCTGTGTAAAATTGGGTGGTTTTATTATAAATTATAATTTCTGTTCATTTTGAGGTTAACAGCTTTCTGCATCTCAGGTTTGCTTGACTGCTGTCTGGAAACAGGTGGCTACTCTTCAGCTGTGCTTCTCCCTGCCTCAAAAGCTCCCCCTGCATGAAAACCCATGTGTGTGGGGCCACACACACACACACACACACACACACACACACACACACACACACACTAGTAGCAGCAGTAGCATTTTGTATCTTATTGTCTAATGTCTGAACAACAGAAGCAGACCTTTGATTCTACAGTGTAAAGCACAGAAGAATATGCATTAGAGCAGAAGGAGCCATGCCTTAACTGTTGAGAAACACAGTGCAAGTTGTATCTTAATTCATGAGATGCTTTCTGAGGGGTGTGGTGTGCTCGGGGACCTGTTTCTGCTCGACACATAGTAGCGTGCACTGGTTGTGTTGGAGAGACTGGACTGTTAGACATTGTAAGCAAACTTAGCCTTCATTCCGGGAATGAGGAAATAAGGAATGAAATCCTAGAGTTGCCGTCATCACGTCTCTGCTGTTGTCTGATAGAGGCCCCCAAAATTTTAAATTAGGTCTGGTGAAATGCCCTGATGGCTAAGGTGCAGCAGACTCGACTGGTTAATTTTAACACATTACTTGAGCTGTTGATTTGCTTTTATTTGTTTTGGAATTCAATTACTCATTCTTTTTATAAGATGTTGCATATTATTATAATTATTTGCTCACCGCCTTGGTAATATCTTCAAGGAGTAATAGAAATGAGGAAAGAGAGTGAGAAAGGAAAAAAAAGCTGTGTTCATTCAGCAGACATTCGCTGCAGGTCTGCAGTGAGCCAGAGGTATGTGGGGCACATGACTGCACAAGCAGGCTCATCCCTGCCTACATGGGGATCACGGTCTCCTGGTTTTCAAAATGGCATCAGAAAGATGAATATATAGATGAAACTAGGTCCTCTAAAAGGAAAATAGCAGGAGGTATCAGAGCTCCCTAAGCAGATAGCATTTTTTATAAAAACGAGATAAAAGGAACAGGCTAGGTTTGAAGCTTTCCAGGCAGAAGGTCCTATTTATGTGGAATGCCTAAGTCAGGATGTCCAAATCCCCCACATAACTTAAGGAAGGCTGGTGTTCCTGGAACTGTTCAAAGGAAGGGCCAGAGGCAAAAGGTTAACAAGGCCATGTCATCCAGAGCCACAGCAGGTGAGTGTAAGATTTTAAGCAGCTCATTGCCAGTTAGAGCTGTGGTCATCAAGAACACTGAGGCACCGTTTGGGAAATAAGCGAGAGGCAGAGTGGGCATGAGATCTTATTAATAAGACACTAGTTTCTTAAAGAGGCTGGGGAAAGGCTAAGTCTCGGGCACCAGGTGCAATCGTCTCCCTAGGAAGCAGCATTGACAAAGCTCCTTGCCCAGCAGTGTGCTTTAGGGCATCTGGGGTTAGCCCAGGGCAATTCTTTTCTGTTCCACAGGGGCCTAAAACCAGGCATTTAGACCTACTCTACAGTATCTCACCTGCCCTGCAACTTACTCCTCGGTTTCCTCTGCCTTCTGAGGTTTAAAACCCAAATGCATTTCTTAGAGCAGGCCTTTTTAAGAAACTGGCTGTTGCTAACCCTTAATGAATTCCCTTTCTCATCCCTCTATTTTAGCAGTAACTCAGGGGAGCAAGATTGACACTGTTGACATAACTGGAGAACTAATATGAAGAAATTGGGAACAAATCCCAGCACTCATAGTCAGAGGCAGGAAGATCTCTGTGAGTTTGAAGCCAGCTTGGTCTACTTAGTGAGTTCTAGGACAGCCAAGGCTACACAAACAAACAACAAAAATGGAACAAGAAAGGGGGAAGGCACTATAGACATCTGTGGGCTTCTGTGGCATGTAAATGACAGCCCTCCTGTGTTCTCTTCATCTAAACCTTTTCAGAATTTTAGTGTAAAAAG